ACCATATAAGATTCTTGTTCATTTTGTAACAAAAATGTGCTAATACCCCATCCATGCTACGAGCTTAGCATGTTCATTGATACTCTACGATGTTTTAGGTTCCAACTATAGAGCTGAGAAAGCTTAATAACTTAAAACTCTTTCCTTTTAGGAGGAATCGACATGAACACAATGTATAGAGTAAGACCCGACTACCTCGGTTATTGGGCAAAATCAATAAATAAACACATAATTTATAGGACTCGGCATGTTATGTACCTAATGAAATCCAAAACTCGAAAAAATTACACTAAATAGGAATGATAATGTGAGATCCCACATCGGTTGGGAAGGAGAACAAACCAATTCTTTATAAGAGTGTGAAAACCTCTCCGAAGAAGACACGTTTTAAAAACCTTGAGGAGAAGCTCAAATAGGACAATATCTGCTAGCAGTGAGCTTGGACATTACGGATAAATTTGAACATAGTAGGTAAAGAAAACCGAGTAGTTAATCAATAGTTGAGATAACATTGTAGAAATCCGAGTATCAAGAATGTATGAGCATATCAAATTTTGATATCAATATTCGAGATGCATTCTAACAATGTAACGTTTTCTGAAGAATTAATGCTAACCTGTGTTTCTTTCACGGTATATCGCTCCAGTAGTGTTTTTTTCTCTTCATTGGAAAGTAACTGGTGCTCAGGAACAAGAACGTGATCTTTGATATTAACTAGTAGTTCTGCTTCCTGCATCAACAAATGAAGAAAGGGAAAAAGAGAAGTTATACCTAAAGTAAACTAAGACAGTAGGAGCATGAATGTAGAAACCAAGCCAGAGGAGCAATGAACAACTGCCTAGGTCGTTTTATTATTCTTTGACAAGAGAATAAAGCAAACTGTTAAGGATGGTTGGGAAAGGAGTCCCACGTCGGCTAATTAAGGAGTTGATCATGAGTTATAAGGAATACTTCTCTATTGGTACGAGGCATTTTGGGGACCCAAAAGGCTTGGCATTTTGAGGACCCTTCCATTTTGGGTCCCCAAAAGGCAAAGCCATCAGATCTTATGCTCAAAGTGGACAATCAAAGTGGACAATATCATACCATTGTGGAGGTCCGTGATTCATTACCCAAACTCCCATATTTTTCATTCTCATATGGCAAAACAAGGAATAAAGGAAGAGAGGATATCATAATTTTTAAGTTTTCAGAGTAAGTTCTCAAATTATTGGTAAGCGACCCATCTAAGTTACTTCTCGAACCGGTGGTTTGGCTTTCTTCCTCCTTTTTGTTTGAGCACCTCGTTCATTTGTTGTGAGATTGTCAGTTTGCTCAGTTTCAATGGGATTGGTGAAAATCCTCTTTTCGGGATTGTGGAGCTCGAGGCAGGGAGGATTGTTAGTCATCGAATGAGGTGCTTTTCCCCTTTTAGGGAAAGAGGCAAAGTCATGTGGGTAACCTTTTCTCCCGGGTGTATGTGAAAAAGAGTGACTCACCCTTTTGGAAAGGTACAATGGAATTTTTAGAGAGATTAAGAGATCGGGTGAGGAGGTGTAAGAGGTTGCTACGCTTAATGCCTCCCTTTGGGCTGCAGTCGCTAAGCCATTTTGTAATTATGATCCTGACCTTGTTCTTTTAGATGGGAGTCCCACATCGATTGGAGAGAGGAACGAGTGTCAACAAGAACGTTAGCCCCGAAGGGGGTGGATTGTGAGATCCCATGTTGGTTGGAGAGGGGAACGCAACATTCTTTACAAGGGTGTGAAAACCTCTCCCTAGCAGACCCATTTTAAAAACCATGAGGGGAAGCCCGAAAGGGAAAGCCCAAAGAAGACAATATCTGCTAGCGGTGAGCTTGGGCCATTACACCTTTTGTTTGGACTTGTTTTTTCATGTCTTTGTACTTTATAATGTTTCTCAAAACGACTCAATTCTTAAAAAATAAAAAAACTAAAAACACTCCATAAAATATGTTAAAGAAATGATTTCACCTGGAAAACTTCCAAGTGGAATTTGGTAGATATTTCACTTATACAGGTGCGAGCGAAAGGGGTCAAATTCTGTTGAACGACCAATATTGCTCTAAAAACATTCTCCGATTTCATGCGGTTGGTATACGTTTTCATTGTCTTGACGCCAACCTTCGGTTCCTCCGGAAAGAAAATGTATATCTATAGAGAAAAGAGTCACTATAAGAGGAAGGAAACAAACAGAAGAATTAACGAGAAACTTGCAGGCCCTTGTCTGAGACAATACCTGATCAGAGCTATCATTTCTCTTCGCTTTGTTGATCACGATATCTTCTCTTTTCATGCTTTCACCATATTTATTCTTAAATTGCTCTCTGGACATGTCAACCTCAAAGTCTCCAACGAAGTAGCCTCGGTCTTTAAGCATTTGTAACACAGTTTTTCGTACTCTGAAAAGCCTGGTGATTTCCTCCTCTGCTAGCACCATCTTGTCTGTAGCTAAGCCATTGTCAAACAATTCAATACTCAATACCTAAGCTCCAAATGAGTACACAAGAAATAGATAATGCAGATTCTAAATGAGGTAAAATCCATTAGTAGAAACATCAATCTGATTAATTATGTTACGTATTGGAAATTTCAAAACCAATGCAAAACACAGCATATAGAACACGTTATGGATGTAATAGAACAATAGTTTTCAGAAAATTCAAAAAAAGTTGGAGACACTGACAATGCTAGACAAGAAAACAAATTTGGTTAGAGCTTGCTGGTGCCCTTAATCCCTAGTCAAAGAGACAAAAATTTAAAGAAAACGATTAAATCAGGCTGAAGAAGCACAAACAATCAACAACAAATGTCAGACATGTTGTACCAGTCTAAGTCAAGGCCACCACTAGTAGATATTGTCCTCTTTGGGCTTTTCCTTTCGGGCTTTCACTCAAAGTTTTTTAAAACACGTCTACTAGGTAGAGGTTTCCACACCCTTATAAAGAATTCTCCTCCTCAACCCATGTGGGATCTCACAATCCACACCCTTCGGGGCTCAGTGTCTAAAATGGCATTCGTTCTCTTCTCCAACCGATGTGAGACTTCCCAATCCACTTCCCTTCGGGGCCTAACATCCTTGCTACCACACCGCCTCGTGTCCACCCCCCCTTCGAGGATCATCCTCCTCACTGGCACATCGCCCAGTAGAGGTTTCCACACCCTTATAAAGAATGTTTCGTTCTCCTTCACATATGTGGGATCTGACACATGCTATATATATATATACACACATATATATATATACATTTTTCTTCTTTTTATTCTAAATAACTATGGATGTTTGAATCCACTACAGTACACCTCAACCAACCCTACAAGACAACAAGTTCACCATGATGATTTTGCATCCAAAAAACTTAATATCCTTAGTTGGTCACATTGATTTACCTTGTAAACTCAAAATATCTTATAGAACAACCGTTTGATCCTATTTCACTACGTTGCCAAAGAAACTAGTAGGATATTATATCTTAAATTGGTGACCACTATGGCTTGAACCCATTCTCTCTAAAATTAATTACCTTTCCCCCCCTTCTTCGAATAGGAAACAAAATATCTCATTACTAACAGGAAGATATACAAAAAAGAAATGAGATATCCCCTACAAGCCAAGGGGGTTACAAAAAGGATTCCCAATTAGCGAACATTTGTGATAAACCATAGTTACCAGAAGAGGGCAACAACACAAGTAGACGAAAACAATCCAATTTGTTTCCAAAAAACATCAAGAGTAGAATCACTTCCCAGAAAAGTCGAGCCACCACAGAAGTACCACAGAAAAGTTCAAATGAGTTGATAATAAGCCTCTGAATAACCTTTGGGAAACACTCAGCTGAAGGTAAAATATTTTAAAGAGACCGGGCCAACAGGAGGCAGCAGAAGGGCATAGGAAAAAGAAGTGCAATCTTTCAACTCAAACCATCTCTAGAGATTATACTATAGTATATTTACAAACATTATAGGAACCAACACTATGAAGCGAAACCAAAAGAAAAAAGGAAAAATCCAGTAATCAAAAGAGTACAGAACAGATTACAAGAACCAGAGAGAAAGAGCAATGTTATATCAAGAGCGGAACCTGCAAGAATCTTCGCAAACGAGGGAAATTTATAAATCAACATACAACAGCATCTAAAACTAGAAAAAGAACTACACTCAGCAACCCGACTCAGATCACAAATTCTCAGACAAAAACAAACCTTACTCAACAGAGAGTTACGGCTACAAGATAGAGAAGGGGAGAGACAGAGAGAGAGATTTCGTGGTTTGGCGGCGGCGGTGGTTTTGTGGAACGATGAAGACGGAGAGAGATGGAGGGAGAAGGAGCGGTGATTTTGGGGGAAAAAGTACAGAAAAACGTAAACGCCTCGATAAATATACCCTCCAAAGTTTGACTCAAAAGTCAACAATTTCGGAGTGGCCGAAACTTTTCTCACAAGCAATTTAGTATAATTGGAAGGTTAATCTTTTAAATCAAATATTTTAAAAAAAAAAATCTCAAATTTGTGAAATAGATTTAGTTTTATTTTATTTTATTTTATATCTAATACATAAATAAATAGATTTATTTAACGAAATTGAAAAGGTTAGAGGATAGAGAAATTGAGTTTTTTAAAATAATATTTTATTTTATTTATTAGACTTTTTATTTTTTTCCAATAGAAATTATATTAGAAAATTAGAAGTCTCCATAAAAAAAATTATTTGAAATGGGAATTAAAAAAGAGCTTCCTTCATGGATTCCAGGCGGATAGATGGATCCCGTGCATGATCCTGATGTCCCATGAGACAGAACTACTAGGGGCTAGTTAGATACTCCCGTTGTCGAAGAACAAAAGCTTGGGGATTGTTATTTGGTTCAAGCTCTTCGTCTTGAGAACCACCTTCAATGGTTTACATGCAACAACATCTGAATCACACAGGCTAATTTCAGTAGTAAGTGCTCGGTAGCACTTCCCAACAAATGGACGAATTACAAACTCTAATAGAGAAATCAAATGGAGCACTTAAAATAGTATTATCTCCTTATTAGATTGGTCTCTGCCTCTCTGGTAAAACGGGTCACTTACAAACATGAACATGTGCAGGACTCAGAACCAACCAGTTCAAAAGAACCAAGAGAAATTGAAGGAACAGTCATCCTAATCTTCAAAGTCTAAATACAAAGAGATGAGACCAAGGAGAAAAATGGCCTATTCTCCTCTTCCTCTACGTAATCACCTTCCCCAACACCTCTCTCTATCATGTCGAAAGCATATGGATTTCAGGGCTGAATGGAGAAGCAACACATTCTCAGCAGCTTGTGATTGGCTATTGGTTGTTGATTCAACTGCTCACAATTGCTGAGTTGCTCCCTCGTGATTGGTAGCTTTTAAGTCTGAAAAATGTTTTATCAAGACGACGTTGAACGCCAAAAGCTGTGCAGGGAATGAGAGACAGAAGAAGAATCGTTGGGATGAGCCATTTTCATTGCAAAGCTGGGTATATAATCCATCGACAAATTTAGCCTGAAGGAAAACAAATATTAGCAAGATGGTTAGATGGATTTAAATCTTGTTGAAGCCAACCGTGAATTAACCTGACCAGCATCCATGAACACTGCTCACTTTTCATTTTACACTTACAAGAAGGAAGGATCAAATGGAAGAAAACTTCATATTATGCCAGAGATTCCGAGTCGAGAACTGAAAGAAATCAAGAAAATCGAAGGAATTTAGATTTAAGCCAACCATGTGCCTGTAATGACCATACAACAAGAAGGATCATCCTGGCTAGTTAGCCGGAATTGTTAGATGAACACGACTCTCCACAATGGTATGATATTGTCCACTTTGAGCATACAAGTTTTGTTTTGGGCTTCCCCAAAAGGCCTCATCCCAATGGAGAAAGTATTTTTTGTTTATAAACCCCATGATCATTCTCTAAATTAGCCAACGTTAAAGCAGGAGTGAAGAAATACATACTTTCTCATCTTTTGAGCCTGCATACCTCTAAGCCAAACAAGAAAGAAGAGGGAATAAAGGAGAAGAGGAAGAGTCAGTTTGACCTTGACTTTATACTAGAGGAAGTATCAAGATCAAAAAGTAGAGGCAATGTTACAGCTTGATGATGGGGAAAACCCAAGGGGGCAAAAACAACAGATATTCTACGAAAGTAGGAAAAAAGGGGCAAGCTTCCTCAATGTGTGAAGAACCAAGAACCCTGAGGTAAAGGACTATGCTACGTGCTTTCCCAATGGACTCCTTTGCCTTCCCTTCACTGTTGGGCTATTGGGGGGAGAAAGGATGGGTGGTATTCATCTGTTATTCTGAGGCAAAGAGAAATGGGACTTTCATCATCCAACACCTCCCCTCGAACAAAATACGCCTCCCCTTAATCGAGGCACGACTCCTTTGTAGTCTTAGTCATTTTTTACTGCCTTCGAGGAGGCTCGACTCCTTTTCTTTTGGAGTCCTTTGTTCGACATTTGAGGATTTACTAATCTATTGACACGACTAGGTTTAGGGCATGGATCTAATACCATGTTAGATGGACACAACTCTCTACCATGGTATGATATTTTCCATTTTGAATATTCACTCTCATGCCTTTGCTTTGGGCTTCCCCAAAAGGCCTCATCCCAATGGGGATAGTATTCTTTGTTTATAAACCCATGATTATTCCCTAAATTAGCCGACGTAAGACTTTCATCATCCAACCGAAATAACTTTCATTTCGCAAACGAAGAAATTGCCACAAAACATTGAGTTGATGAATATCAGTTCTAGAACAGAGTGAGTTTGCTTTCTTTCTCCTCACAAATCAAACCAAATACTAATAACAAATCGAAGAAAAAACGAACCGCTTTTCTTTCAAAATAGGGACAGAAAGCAGCAGAACCAGTGAAATTTGGCAATGTACCAGCAATTAAGGGGCCTGAGGATCCAGAATCAAGAAACTCAGACGAGTGATGTAGGCGAATTAGATTTCGCAAGGTTTTGAGTAAAATTTTGGCTGGATCGATAGAACGATCCAGTCAAGAAGCTGAACTTGCTTTTCGATTTTCATTTTTCCACTGCAATTTCTTCATCCATTAAGATCACTAAAAAAAAAAAAACAAAGAAAGAAGAAGAAAATCATTCAATGAGAACAAACCATTTCGAATGAAAATTTGGATTTCAAGGGAAAATGAAGAACAATTGAAAGTACGCCCTAGAAATTGAAACAAATAAAGTGAAATGATGATCATGTTTCCATCGATCTCTACAATGGAAAAGAAACAGGCTGAAAAATTCATTCGAAACAGAGCATAGAGTGCTGTGCAAAACGAAAGCGAAAGAGACGTAAAGGAAAGGATCAGATCCATTGCCAAAAACAGAAGAAAAGAATCCGCAAGCAAGCAACGATCGAGTTATTTAGTTCAAAGAAATCAAAATCATTACATCAGATGAAAAAAGATAGCGGAACACCTGACCTTTTCTTTCTTTTTTCTTGTATTTCGGCGATTGATTCACCGAGAGGCATTTCCACAAACACCTTGTGTGCTCTGCACTGAACATTAATGGCGATGAATCGCCGCCACGGAAACCAGAGCGTTGTCGTTGGTAGAAACAAGCAAAGGAATGTTGAAGAATCGATCGTGGGAGTGGTGGTGATTGTTCATGATTTTGAGAAATCTGGACCTGGAAAATCGGCTTCTATTCAGATTTATAGTGGAACCGAACTGGATCCAAGTGAGCCTTCTTTTCTCCACTTCTTACTCATTCATTCCAAAATCAAACAAAAACATCAAAGCTGTTATTCGATCAATTTGTCAAAAATTTTGAATATCCTTCGCCATTATTTCTACACCATAATCATAGCATCTTGACTTCGATCATACCGATATACGAATCTATCAAACACAAAAGTTTATTTTGTACTTTCGATCTTCTCGTCCATGCATCTTTGAAAATTTTAAAATATTTTCGAGTAAAATTTGGAAAAAACTAAATATTTTTCTAATCTCAACCTTTAAAATTTAACAATCTCTTCTTCAATATCATCGACTAAACCAAGAACGTGTAACAGGATCTTACAATCCACCTCTTTGAGGCCCAGCGTTATCGTTAGCACACAGCTTGGTGTTTTGCTCATTGTGAGATTCCACATTAATTTGGGAGAGAAACAAAACATCATTTATAAATGCGTGGAAACCTCATCTTAGTAGATGCGTTTTAAAAAACGTGAGACTGATAACAATACGTAACGGAGTAAAGTGGACAATATCTAGTAGCGGGCGGGTTTCGATTGTTATATAATGTGTTTACGATATTATATTTTCATTATGATTCTTCCTCGTTTAACAGGTACGGGAAACGGAAAGACGAGTAAAACTGCAAAGTTAAAAGAATGGAGAAGCAAGAAAAAGGGTGATGGGTCAAGAATCAGCAACTATAAAATCAAGCTGAAGGTTGATAAGGGATTTGGAAGTCCAGGAGCTTTTGTGATCACAAATGAACATAAGCACAAATTTTACCTTAAATCAGTTTTTCTCCAAATTCCCAAACTTCATCCCCAACCAATCCACTTTGATTGCAACTCTTGGGTTTATCCATTCAACGTCGCTGCCCCTCCTCGTCTTTTTTTCTCGAACACTGTAAGTTTTTCTTACTAGTTTTAGTCTCGATCGGTTATATCTTTAAATTTTGAATCACGACATAATCTGTCTATTTGACAAGTATAAGCTAATTTGACACAGTATGAGTAACGAAAAAGATGTTATAGACAGTCACTGTATCTTTTTTCAGCTAATCACTTTCTTCTCATCGTCTTTCTAATGCTCTGTCAAATAACGAAAATAATCGTAATTCAAAGTACAATAACTTGATTATAACTTACTTAGTGTTTTGATTAGAGTTATATTCCAAGCCAAACGCCGAGACCCCTTGTGGAGCTAAGAAAAGAAGAGCTAATAAAGCTAAGAGGAGACGGGAAAAGAGAGAACAAGGAATGGGAGAGAATTTACGAGTACGATTACTACGACGAGTTTTTTAGACCTGAATTGGGCGAATCCTCCTCCCTTCCATATCCTCGCAGAGGAAGAACGGTTCAACATCCTAACAGTGGTACACAAAATTCTTCCTTTCACATTTTTCTTCGTTTTATACCCGTTTTACCTAATCGGAGGCACGAAATAGTACTAATGAATGAATACGAACGTCGATAAGAAAAACGCTTTGTTTAAAGCACTTTTTTTTTGGTTTGGTGCATGATAAGATGGTTCCATGGATTTACAAAAATGTGTACCTCCTGATGAGAGGATGAGGCAAAGCAAAGTGAAAGAAATAGTTTCAAGCTCAGTGGAAGCTGCTCTTCAGTTCCTCATTCCAACCCTAAAGGCCCAACACTACACCACCAATCATTTCAACTCTTTTGTTGAATTGGGCCGCTTCTTTTGGGCCCAAAAGCCCAAAAACATGGCCCAACTAGACCAATGGACCACCCTCAGACTCCAAAAATTTATCCCACAAAATCTTTTCCCACAAATTCTTTCCCAAAAAGATGACTTCATCTATCCACATCCTCACCTTCTTGAAGGTAATTTTTTTCTTATTTTTTTTTTCTTGTTTTTTAAAATTTATTCGATAAAAATTAAAAATTATTGTGATTTTTTCTAAATTAATCAATATTGGGTGTTTTTTTTTTCTTCATATAAACCATAATTGATAGAAATAACGAATTTATTTACCTTTTGAAAATTTTGAAATAAAAAATGTTTTTTCGTGTATCGAAAAAGTGAAAAAAAAAACAAAAAATATAAACGTAAAAAAATAATTGCCTAGTGTTAAATTTATTTATTTATTTTACCAATGGTATAATGTAAAAATGTATTATTAGCATAATAATTTTTTTCAAAATTATTAGTAAAATTTGTTTTTTTTTTTTTTTTTAATTCAGAAAATGAACGTGCATGGATGGATGATGATGAATTTGCACGACAAATGCTCGCCGGAACTAATCCTGTGCGAATCACATGCTTACACGTATGTTAATTATGCTTACACTAATATATTTTAAGATTATGTTACAAATTTAGTGTAAAAATTTCTTTAATAATCTCTCATTTTTTAAATTTGTTTAATAAATGATTGTGATATTTATTTACATTTTTACTTTATAAATCTATTAAATATAAAGTTTCAAAAGTTTAAGAACAAAAACTATTCAAACTTACTTGGACAGAGATTTCCACCAGAATGCAAAGCCAAAGTGGTTAGTACAATAAAAGCTTCTGATATTGAACGCAACCTCGATGGTCTTCCCCTTCAACAGGTATATATAGATATATATATATCATCTCTTCCTTTATGTTGCTCCTCTCTAAACCTGTAAATCATCAACTAAATCAACTAGAAGGTTTAAATTGTTCGTACAAAGTTAACATGATAATGGTACGATGCCAAGTTTTAGACAACAAAAAGAGGTTATACTACGCTGATAAGATTTGATTATACAATATCAAGATAGGAGGATAACAAAAGACGAGTTGATAACAAAATAACGACTTAGAATGACGATTTGTTTTTAACGTTCAATATAGAAAAATGAATATTTCAAAAGTTTGTAGAAATGGAATTTTGTCCATAAAAAATGCACACGAGAAATGAAATTTTGAGCTCCATTCTATTTTAGTCCTCGTACTTTGTAACTGCACAAAATATTAAAAAGTTACACCAAAACGTTCAAAACTGCTTAAAAGGATACTTGTGTTGTGAATATTGAAATATTTTAGTGTTCTGAAATGTTATAGGCAATAGAGGACAGAAGGATATTCATGTTGGATCATCATGACTATCTAATGCCATTTCTGAATAGAATAAACAGTAGCAATGTGTTTGCCTATGCATCTCGAACCCTACTCTTCTTAAGGACTGATTCTACACTAAAGCCTTTGGCCATTGAACTTTCTTTACCATACTCTGAAGCTGAAGGAGGAGAGATAAGTTGGGTTTACCTGCCAGCACCTGAGGGCTTGGAGGCTGCCCTGTGGCAGCTTGCCAAAGCTCACGTCGCTGCCAACGACTCCGTCTACCATCAACTCGTCAGCCATTGGTGAGACCCCTCACCTACTTTCATAGATTCAAGAGTTTGGTGTCAAATATAACAAGATAATATCTTTTTCTTTGATGGGTTGTAGAAATATCCACAAATTATTAGCTTAGTCTCTATTCAAGTTTGGCTTTGAATCGTTTCAAAATTTTCATTATAGCTTATAATCTATCATAAACTAAAGTTTTTTTAATCTAAAACCATAGTTGATATGTGAGATCCACAACATCGGTTGGAGAGAGAAATAAATCATTCTTTATAAAAGTGTGGAAACCTCTTCCTAGAGATACGTTTTAAAAACTTTGAGGGGAAGTTCGAAAGAGAGCCCAAAAAAGACAATATCTGCTAGCAATGGGCTTGAGTTGTTACAAATGATATCAGAGGCAGACATCAAACGGTATGCCAGCAAGGACGTTTGCCCCCAAGGGGAACAAAACATTCCTTATAGAGGTGTAAAAATTCACGTGAACAGGGTATAGGTCGGCAGAGTGAGGGGGGCTTTGGGAATTAATTTTTTTTTAAGGTACTTAGCAAGACCTACCTGATTTCCTCTATTTTTAACCCAATTCAAACTCTAATTCAATCAAACCTAGAATGTCAACTCCTTATCTTTCTCTACAACAATGAAAAGAAACATTTTCTATTCAAGTTCTCTACAACTCCTTATCTATTCATTTTAAGCCAAAAAAAAACGTTTTGAGATCTTTGTAGGCCAAATATTTGTCCAGTTATTCCTACACATTTCATGCTGTCAAAGTAAAATGGCATAACATGCAATGTTATGTAAATGTTTAGGTTACATACCCATGCAGTTGTCGAGCCGTTCATCATTGCCACTCGCAGACAGTTGAGTGTTATGCATCCAGTCTACAAATTGCTGAATCCTCATTTCAAAGACACCATGCACATCAACTCACTATTTAGAAGCTTCCTGTTGAAACCTGATGGAATCTTTGAGAAGATATTGTTTTCTGGTCAATTCTCCATGGAATTATCTTCTGAGCTTTACAAAGAGTGGCGATTCAACGAACATGGCCTCCCAGCGGACCTGCTGAAAAGGTAACAACAAGTACATTGCTTTTCCTTTTATGATAATAGACGTGTGCCAACATTGCTTTGGTTTCTTAGAAATATGGCTATAAGGGATCCAGATCCAGGAAACCTGTCCGGAGTTCAGCTCATCTTCCCTGACTATCCATATGCAGAAGATGGCCTTGAGATATGGACTGCAATCAAGACATGGGTCAAGAGTTTCTGTTCAATCTTCTATAGAGATGACGACTCTGTACATTCTGATGAAGAACTCCAAGCTTGGTGGTCCGAGATCAGAAATGTCGGTCACGGCCACAAGTTCAACGAGTCGGGGTGGTATGAAATGACCACACTATCAAACTTGGTAGAGGCTTTGACAACTCTCATATGGACAGCAACTGGACTCCATGCTGCAGTGAATTCAGGGCAATATGCATATGCCAGTTACCCTCTTAATCGTCCCACACTGTGTCACAAGTTCATTCCCAGTGAAGGAACAGTTGAATATGCTGAATTCTTGAGTGATCCAGACAAATACTATCTCGAGATGTTACCTGGAAAGTTTGAAACTGCGCTTACCGCTGCATTGACAGAGGTCCTTTCACATCACGCAAAGGATGAACTGTACCTGGGAAGGATGTCATCACACAGCTGGACAGATAATGCAAGGGTCCGGCATAGCTTCAGTGTGTTCAGCAAAGAACTTAAAAATATAGAGAAGCGAATAGCAGAGAGAAACAAAGATCCTAACCGCAAGAACAGAAGCGGTCCCGCCAAGATCCCATACAAACTTCTGTTCCCTGATACATCAAATGTTAGTCCAAAAGGAGGGATTGCAGGCAAAGGGATTCCAAACAGCATATCTATGTGATGCAGATTCATGAAATTACTTGAACTAAAAATGTTCAATAAAAAATATGGGCAAGAGCATTCTTTAATCATCTACCTATCTTAATATGAAAAGTCTGCTACCTAATTACTCTTATGTTATTGCAGACCCTTGAAAAATAAATCAACCAACAATGAGTTTGGGACAAGTAAAAAGTTATTTTAGCCCAATAAAACTAGTCTTAAAAGTTTTCAATGTTTGGTTGGATAACCAAAGTGACTTTAAAAAGTTATTTTCGAAGAAACACTCACTTTTACAAGAAGCTTTTAGGAGAATCATTCAGAGTGCTCCCTCCAAGAATGCCTGCAAAAGAGAGTTTTTACTTCAAAGTAATTTTTCAAAAGTCGCCTCAAATGCCCCATAAGTCTTACAGATAGGTTTATAAACTGCAGCCAATAGGTATTTTATTTTTCCTATCCCAACCATGTAACGAGTTTGTTATCAAATCAGAAACAATTAGCAATTTATACTATAAACCAAAAAGATTAAGAAATGTTTATGCATTAAGGCACACCACTTAAGGAAAAATTTCTCAGAACAAATGAGCTACAGATACTGAAAGTCAAGGTACAGAACATTAAATACATGGACTGCTGAGTTGCTACGATATTGTTGACCTTCAACTACAAGTTGGCTCTTTGAAATGGGAAAAGGGGCAGGTTTACATGAGATCGAAGCCACCAAGAATACCATTATTAAATCATAAGTTGTAAGCATTTATTAGCATCGTCCTTGTACTGAAAAAGGAGCGGGATCAACTTTCCCAGGAATTCCCAGCACCATGTTAACAATCATTTCTGCAGTTCCTAGTGCCTGAATGTAAACAAAAATAAGTCAAACAATCGAATCAACTAAAAAAAAGAAGTTAGGGTTGTCTATTCAATAGAACCATGATTTCTTATGATCTCTATGATACATTAGAAGGGTGGTTTTGGAGTATCAGTAGTTTTTAATTGGGGGGGGGGGGGGGGGGGGGGTGGAGAGAGAGAGTCACCATTGAAAGTCCTCCACCTTCATGGCCAGATGCAAGGAACACATTTGAGAAACCAGGAACAGGCCCTATCACTGGCTTTCCATCAAGCACTGTGGATATAAACTCATACGGGAAAATAAGATAACACAAACCCTGAAAATTCAACGGTCGAAACTATCGAAAGTGACATGATACTCACTGTATGGTCGTAGACCTATTCTCACTTTACTGCTGCTTTTGATCTCTGAAAAAGAGACTTCTTTCATCGTGGGAAAGAATTCTGAAGCTCTCTCCCATATACGAGCAATTATGGATTCATTAATATCAGTGTTGAAACCAGCAAACTCACGGCTGCTCCCTGAAATTAGATGACCAATTTCCAATGAGAGGTTTCAAATTTCTGGCAATATATATATATATATATTTAATATAAAAGAAACAATATCTTTGATTGAATGAAATTCTCAAAAGATGTCCCTAATTCAAGGGAGTTACAAAAGAGCTTTTCCCGTTAGATATCAAAGGGCAGTAACTATAATTATGAATGAGGGGGCGCACGTACACCAGAGATGACTAATTCTTTACATGTTTTCAGGATTCTAATTGTTATTCATCACATTCCAAGCAAGATACAATAAGGTATGGAACTATGCAAGTCTATCAGCTTACATGGAGCAGCACGATTAAAACACATTAGAATAAATATATGCATAGATGCATAAAAATAAAAAAAAACGTTGCTGGCAGCTATGAAAAACAAACTAAGTACTTTAAAACAGTGGTCACAAAGTTTCATATTTTACCAAGTACTAGATTGCCTTGAACATCCATAGTGGCAGTCATTGAAATGGAAGAGGTATGTTCGAGATCTTTAGCCGAAGTTAAAGCTTGGTGATTAACATAGCCCACCTCCATCAAACCATGATTAACATGAAAGGAATTAAAATTCTCGATGACAAGCAAGTGACCCTGCAATGAAAGAGAGGTTTGGTCCTAATCAACCTTTTGAGGAGATGGAAAGTATTTCAGAGAAAACAACCTCGATAATCGATCACTTCAAGTTCCAGGTTATTGTAATTAACTTACATGAGGAGAACGAGAACCTAGCTATCATAGAAAAGATAAATATATATCAAGCTAACATGATACTAATTCACAGCTAAAGCAACTACGTACAGTAAGAAAATAGCAAGAAAAGGAACTAATCAAAGATGTAACCAAGAAGATCATTTCTCAGGAATCAGGGAGGAAAATAATGCTTGCTTCTTTCAACAGCTGGCCTTGCAGATATTGTGTATTCCTAGCATGTTCATAACTTGGAAGACAAATGAGGCTACCCCTGATTAATCAAAACCCAGCAACTATAATGCTAGTAAAATTGGAGAAATTCTTTTAACTAAACGATTGCAAAGCCTAGTCCCCACATTCTGTTTAAAAGTGAACACTTTGGGTTCAATCAACTGACTCCTCGTATCTATAGAGTAAATAATAAAGTTAATAACTGACCAAAAATAGAGCGGATCAGTATAAGACATGAAAAATCTCAAAGAAAAGTCAGTGTGTTCATAGATCCACACCTTTCTTGGCATTATGGGAACATCCAAAACAGTTTTTTCTTCCCTGAGTAAATCACGCAGCAAAGTCCCACTCCAACAACCAGCTGCTAAAACAATGGCCTTCTTACTGTACAATGTAGTCTTGGCCGTCTGAACAGCTTCTATCTTTCCATTGCTACCAGACCTGAGGGTGTACAAAAGTGACGTTCTTATCATCTTATTACTATAATGCTTATAGGGATTCATGTTAAAAGACATATTGGTCAATTGATGTAAATTGAATACTAGATATATGAATTAGTTCAGAATTTTTGGCAATTTTGACTTTCTTTTAATGAGAAACCAGAGTACTGTTGACTGTTTCACTCTTTGCCGCGGACTGTTAAGAAGATAACACATAAGGTAGGCTATACTTTATTTTATAAAACATTATTAAGAGGTGCTGATCACACTTTTAAGCAACTAGTTTTGATCAGTGATCGGCATGCTTCCATTTTACTTTTGGGCTAAATTACAGAAAATATCCCTGAACTATGGGTCTCGTTTAAAAAATACACCTAAACTTGAAAAAGTTATTAAAATACTCTTTGACCTTTCAAAAAGATCCAAAAGAACCTTTATTGTTCATTTTTGGAAGGAAACCGTTAAAGTTTCATTGATACCTTTTGCCTTTCAAAAAGAAAAAAACTCTTACTGGAAAATATTTCGTCTTCTTCTCTCTGCAAATGCCCTTCCTCTATGAAAATTAATAAGAAACTTCGTTTGTTTGCTATGTATTCATAGAGAATAAGTTTTTCATCTCCTTCAATACAACATCTCAAAGAGCCTAGCCATATCCTTACGCTGAATTTTCAAGATGGCTTTTGCTTAATTCTTGAACTTTTCATGTCCTCGACTTGATTTTTTTTTTATTATAATTATTTTTTTTAGTTTTTTCACTATTGTTTCCTCACCAGTCACAATCCAACAACTTTCCATAAATTCATTTTAGACATAATAAATGAGAATTTTGTCAGCTATTCTAAGACTTCTTGAATATTAAAAAAGAAATCACATATCAAACTTTTGATTAATTAACCCTTGTAAACCGGATCAAATCCTCCTTCAAGTTTAAGGACGTAGCAACAATTTCACCAAATAAGCTCCAAAACCTAAAATCCATAACCATAACCATAACCATAACCCTTTCTTGTAACTCTCCAAAGACAAAAATTGAAAAGAAAAAAAGAATTACATCTTTCTTTCTTTACCACCCATAATCGTAATTGAAACCATACTAATCTTCAGCTGATCACTAACACACAAACAGAGAGAGCAAAAGAAGGAAAAAAAGACCAATTATCTTATTTACACTTTTAAAAAGAGAGCTCGATACTAAACTTTTTTCATATGATGTTCTATTGCACATATCTTATTAAATATTTTTTTAACCCTGCTCAAATTTTATCTCTCCGCTCTCTTTTACTATTTTCTCGAAGTTATTTTGTGTCAAATCAAACCAGGCTAATGGCCATGGCCTTGTTCTTATTTCAGATATCTTGTAGCATTACAGACTCCGAGGGTTAGCTGTAGAAAGATTTTTTTGATAGATGTTGTATCTACAGGACCCTTAAAAGTTACTGAATTTCAAGAACTTATTTGATTCTGTTTATTAATTAGTTAAAGAAAAGGTTATTTATGATATGCATATTCAAACATCAACTAACTAGAAATCTATCAGAACAGCAAATATTTATTGGTATTGCTGTTAACATCGATGTATAGTTGGCTAAGAAAAACAAACCTTAATAAGCCTGTAACTGGATCATGAAAAAATTCTGCATATCTTCCTTCAAAATTTCTGTTGGCCTACACATTTATCATATCTATCAGTAACACGCGACATGCTAGCTCGATATTAACACATTGTAGCAAACGTAATTGAATAGGTAAAAAGAGAATTAATATTTTCAGTCAAAACCTTTTCGATAAATGCTGCAGTACAATGAGCATCCAATTGGCAGTCATTGGGGAGAAAGGCAGCCCCGCAGCTGTTTCCGATCAGCAAAGCTGGTTCCATGGAAAGCAAATCAGCAACAGATAAGTACTCAACTTCTAGTCCGGCCCCAGAAAGTTGCTTTACCTTCCTCTTTAACATGTCAAACTCTTCAGGTGTTTTACCAATTAACAAGCTCCCTAAAACAGAAATAATAACCATAAGATGTAGAAACAATTCACTCATCAGTCACACAATTCATGTAAGACTGCATAATTTTCAGAGAAAATGCATCAAAAAAGTTCAAATCCTGTCTTGAATGCAGTTCTTGGCCACAAATCTACTCCATGAAATTGTATTCGATCATTTACTGACCTGATTTCATGAATTCTTTAAGGAACATACTTAATTTACTAGTTGTTCCCCAGCATTTTCTTCAGACAACATATCTATATATGCAACTTGCAAGTAAGCTAATGGTTGTTGCTTCTCAAAAGAATAGCAACTACCTAATTTATGATCCTGTGTGGCAGCAAATGAAGAATACAAATGATATGGAAGTCAAAATTACTGAGTGATTGATACAAAAAATTGGTTTCATCCTTTCTCTTATGTAACGACTCTAAATTTTCTACTTAATCTAAGGTCAATTTAAAGTCGCTACTGTATACATATCATGAACATTGAATGTCATAAAACATAACTTTCATCTTAAAGCACAGCCATGGACTTACGTATTCGAAAACATCTTTAAAACGACACACCAAAGGATTAAATAAAATAAACGAACGATCAAATTAAAAACATCATATTCTAGCCTAAGTCTAAGAAAAATAAATGTGACTACTACCCTATACATGTCATAGTCTCGAGTTGCGATGCCGTCATTGTTTCTCTTACCTGTCTTTTTCCAACCCAATTCTTCCGATGGATTCAAGCCTTGATCACGCAGGGACTCAGCCAGACTCTCCCACAGCCTGTGACTTCTCAAAGCAAGTTCCCAAATGTCACTGTCAGGTGATTTATGCCCCATCCATAAATAGCCCTGTCCTGGAACCGATAGATACATTACGATTCTAAGAACAGGTCCACAATCAAACAATTTACATCATTAACAGTTTATCCTGAACATTCTCACCTGCACCAGTAGCTCCAGAGCAAGGGACGACCTTATCGACGACGGCCACGGACAAATCCGACTCCATAAGAAACTGCCGAGCAATAGTCAACCCGATAATTCCCGCTCCAATGATCACAACATCAAACTCAAAAGTATTGCCATTACGCGAGGTTGAAGACGAAGATTTCACATCTTTCAAAGCACAAAAGTTCACCGGCCCGTACCTATAATCATGACCAGAGCTATTGGCCGATTTTCTCCATTGTTTAGGACTAATCGACGCCCATTTCGGAGTGAATCCTAACTTGCAGAGATGTCTGCTAGAACGCGAACCTATACCGGTCCTGATAGAGAGACTTGAGCTTGGGCATGAACGCAGTGAATAAGAAGAAGAACTCATTTGGTTAATCTATGAAGCAATACTGAACTTCGCCGTTCGAAAACTTACTGGATTAGGTTAAGGATCCATCGTCTTCTTTGATTGATTACAATTTACATCCGCCATGGATCCTCGAGCTCATTCATCATTTTTCTATGGAGATTAAAAAAAAAAAGAACAAATAAAAGATATTTTCGTGGCTTCGAGTGACCTAATTTCTCGGATTCGTTGAGGTGTTCCTCTTTAGGCGAGTACCCCGCCCGATTCACTGAACTATTGCCCTATCAAGCACTTGCCCTGTTGCTCCTATCCTTCGCTGTGTGGGCTCCACGCTCGTTATCCTTACTTATTTTTACTCTGCTGGGCCTCCCATGGCTCTGGTTACAAGCTATAGTAGCTCCGACTCACAACCACGGGTAAGAAGCAGATTGAAAAGTAGTAGAGGAGCAAAGCTGTGAGGCCGATAGAGACGAAGCGGTCAGGTCCGAAGCGGTCAGGTCCGGTCAGCCTTAGGAGATCTTTCACTTTTGCTAGTCAAATAAGTAATAATACCCCCACAATGGCAAATAAGTAATAATAACCCAACTCTTTTTATGTACCCGAATTACCCCCAACAAATTCAGCGCGAGACTTGAAATCCCTTTAATAGTGTCTTTCATTCGTCGGCATCAGCTCATCAAATTACCCCCACAATGGCAGTCGCAAACCTCCACAGGCTCCGCCAAATCCACCGTCTGCCGGCGATTAGCTACTCCAAATCCATTTTCACAAGAGGCTCAGCGTCGGCCGTCGCCTCGTCGGAAACCCCATCGTCCTCGTCCAAAAAGGTGTCAGATCGCATCGTCAAACTGTTCGCGATTGATCCAGAGGGCACGAAGAAGGAGATTGTCGGATTGACCGGCCAGACTCTTCTGAAGGCGCTCGCCAATCGGGGTCTGATTGACCCCGAATCCCATCGATTGGAAGACATCAGCGCGTGTTCGGCCGAATGCGAGGTCAGTATCGCTCAGGAGTGGCTCGAGAAGCTGCCGCCGCGGTCCTACGATGAGGAGTATGTGCTCAAGAGAAATTCTAGGGTTAGGGCTTTGAACAAGCACTCGAGGCTGGGCTGCCAGGTTATTCTCACCCCCGACCTTCAAGGTATGGTTGTTGCTGTCCCCGAGCCCAAACCTTGGGAGATTCCTTAAAAAAATTTACTCGTTTTTGCATCACTGAATTGTTGTTTTTCGGATTTTTTTTGGCTGTTTGGTTATTTAATAATTTGTACCTTGAAGTGGTGCATTTGGTGGACAACTTGTTCTCTTTGCGAAAGATTATCCCCTAATTGCGTCGTTTTGATGCTTCTATATTCTAGTTGTTCTGTGTCAAATTGTTTAATGGGATATTTTTGTTTTCGGATTTTCTGTACCTCTTTGTTTGATTGAATGTAAACATTCTGAGAATGAGTTAAGAGAATGGCATGCAATTGGTAGCAACTTAGAATATGAAAATTTTTGGGTTCCTTGGGTTTGTGTCACTGCTTTGTTGTTTCAGGTAGAGTCCCTCCTAAAGTAGTACCCAAAAGGCATTATGAAAGGAAAAATGAAAATTTAAGAAGTTCTGAACCCCACTATGGGCATGTCACTGATCTAGGGATTGGTCATGAACCGTGGTGTTTATCAACCTTGATTTCTTTAAAGGCATTGTTCCAAACAATGAGATAGAGTGAGATGGTTGTTCTTTGAGATCAGTCTATTTTATGAAATTTAAACGTTACTTGTTTGTCTTTGTGCACTAGTACTGCCTGAGTTATTTGGAAAATTTTCTTCATGTTCACCCCCAAGAGAAGTCTTGTGGGCACGTTGGTATTTGGGTTTTTTTTTCTTCATCAAAATTGGAGGAGATATTGTTGAATGTAGAAAATAAATGGAGGTATTAATGTATACCTAAACAACTTAAGGAGATGAGAACAAAAATCTTGTTTCTTTTCTCTCAATCATCTCGAGTCGAAGTTAAGGTTTACCTAATTTTTGGATGTATGTATGTATCCACTAACTGTAACATCCTAAGCCCACTGCTAGTAGATATCGTTATCTCTGGGCCTTTTCTTTTGAGCTTCCCCTCAAAGTTTGTAAAACATGTATGCTAGGGTGAGTTTTCCACACCTTTATAAAGAATTCTTTGTTCCCTTCTCCAACCGATGTGTGATCTCACAATCCACCTCCTTTGAGGCCCAGCATCATTGCTGGCATTCGTTCCTCTCTCCAGTCGATGTCAGATCTCACAATTCACCCATTTCGGGGTCAGCATCCTCGCTAACACTCATTCTCCTCTCCAATTGATATGGGATCTTACACTAACCGATCAAGTATAGAGAAGGAGATTGTAGGCTATGTGCGAAATTTATGGTAATGATCAACTTGTTGAATCTTACATGGATAGATTGGAGTGATTAGCATTTAAAAGGCGTGTCTAGGCATTAGGTGTGCCTCACTTCCCTAAGGCCTTTGCTAAGTCATATGCTGTGATGTGGCCAATTCTTGTAGTTATTTTTAATAAGAAATATGTTTTCTGGATGTTTATACACTTGAACAACCTCTTATAAAAGCCTTCCTCTATCCAGATCTTTTATATTTCCTTGTATCATTAAGTTTTATATTACATTTCATCAGATATATATAGGTCTTCTTTTCATAACTTAAAGCCATGGGTCTCGAGTCACTGTCTGTGGTACCTTTTCTTATGTAGAATATTTTCTGAACTGGCTGATGGAATGGAACACTGTAGCTGGACGATCAATGTTTGCTTATGTCAATGGCATATTAGATGCCGACGAGGCTCGTCTAGGACGGAGAGTATATGCAGGTTGGTTTGAGTTCATTTTTTTGAATCAACGATAAATTGACATGTTGCTACAACAAAGAGAAATCGATTCCTGAAGCGACGTCAAAAAACTAAACCACGGCGATTGTAGTTCGTTCAAATTGAATTGACTTGGTTTAGTCAGCCTTATTTTCTTCCAGTTTTGGCTTGCACCCCTGAGCCTTTGTGAATAAGTCTGATACGATCATTGGCTATGAACAAAGAAAGCCAAGCATGATTTTGTAAGTGGCTATGGAGATTTCCTAATGAGCCTTTCATCCTTATGGTTACACTCCATTTCAAAAGAATATGGGACTCGAGCTGTAACCTTCCCATAAGTGGCTGTCCTCGTTGCCTTGGAAAAGCCATTTACATGCCTAACTACTGTAAGGTTTCTTTTTGTTCATTCGAAATTGGTAATGGAGTAGAGTCGCTCTTGGAAGATAGACGGGTTATAGCGTCTTGGAGACACCCCTACTTGGTGAATTTATTGCAGGCAGTTGTTATAATGTGTCTGACAATCTTACATTTGAGGGCTAGATCGAGAGCTAGCGTTCTTATGATTGAGGGCTAGATCGAGAGCTCGCGTTCTTATGATTGAGAGCTCGCGTTCTTATGATTGAGAGCTAGTGTTCTTATGATTGAGGGCTAGATCAAGAGCTAGCGTTCTTATGATTTGGAACTGAGAGTTGATTCTTCTCATTCTTGCCATGAATTTTATCTAAAATTTTTTTTCACAATTATCAATAATACCTATTAATTTTAGATAATACCTATTAATTTTAGATAGAAGCTGTTAATATTTTTAATATTTCAAAATATTAACGCATAAAATAGTTTCAAATACACCATTTATCTCTCAAAATTGTTTTAAAATTCTTTTGAACAATCATTAATATCCAATTTTTGTTAGAAGCTATCAAAGCTATCAAAATGTCATTAAAATTTATTAAAAAATTAAAAATAATCTAGACAATGTTCGAGATAAATAAATTTTATGAGTATTTTTAAAATCTATTATTATAGCTAAAGTAGATTATTTTTATTTTTATTTTTTTAAATTTTAAGAATATTATTGAAAATTTAAAAAGTTTAAAGTATTTTTGAGATAAATAAGAAAAAAAAAAAGTTTCAAATCTATCGTCATCGTAAATCACTTAAAACGGAACTAAAAAAAAAGATTTAAAAATGGAAAATGAACAGTTTATAAGACTAAAACGGGACATTTTGTATTTATTTATTTTGTTTTTCGTTCTTGTTTTGGCGTCAGTTCATACGTTTCTCTCCAATTCATTAATTTCCCGTTGAAGTTGAATCGCCACTTTCTTTTTTCTTCCTCTTCTCTCTTCTTCTTCTTCTCTTCTCTGCATTTTACCTGTTTTTTCTCACTAATCCGAGCTCATGATCGGGCTTCAATACCCCAATGTTCAAGGGTTTTAATCCTCTTCTGCTTTGTCAGTAAGCTTTCATTTACTCTTCCCTGAAAATCGGTGATTCTTTTTGCTTTCCCTTTTGTTTTCTATGTTTTTGGTGGTTGAATACTCATATCATTTCTCTCTGACTTTTTCTCGCCGTTATGGCTCGTGTTCAAGTCGGAGTTGGAAGGGTTTTAGTCTTTGTACCGTTTTATGAAATAGGAAATGAACTCAGCTTACCTTTTTTCTGTAATTTCATGCGAATGCTTCGTTGGCTCGATTTGATCGAAGAACAATGTGTTTCTGTGGCGGCGTGAAGTTATTTTTCTTATCGCTGGCTGATATTGTCATCAAATCTTCTTTCTACGCAATCTTGGTCCCCATTAATAGGATTTTGCATATAAATACGGTTTTGGACCTTGCTTTAATTACAGAATTACAAACGAGAAGGATAGTTCTTGTCTGGGAATTTTGGGTGTAAGTTTTTCTTTGGGGTGGTGTTTGCTTTTTTGTTGATTTCCTCGAGGTTTTGGCCATCTCTTATGTCTTAGTTATCCTTGCTTGGTATTTCGTTGTTGGTTCCTTTTGGTATATGGATCTTGTTTCTCATCGTGTTTGTGAGATCTACCTTAGCTGAATGATTTCTTTTCCATTGACGAACTTTTGGCAATTTGTTCTTGAACAATTGGTTAGCTCTGTCTGGATGCTCTTGTTTTATAGAATTTTTTTCAATCCTTGTGTTTCTTCTCTTCTTTTTCTCTCTTTTATATCTGTAACAGTAGCCTGTTTTTTACAAGAACATAAGCTGAGATTTTTCTTTTTTTGATTTCCCCCCCTATATGCAGTACGTGATCTTTTGATTTTTACTTTTACCAATTGTGCTTCTCTGTTACAGTGTTTATGGGCCTCTCTGACTTGTTGAATTTGCTATTCTCGGTGGGTGTTTGGTGTTCTGCATATATTGTTGTTGCAGTTATTGCATCATTGCGGATCATCTGCTGTCTTTGTCTGCTTTAAACTTGTGAGACAACTTGTAAGCTACCATGGGATATGCACAACTAGTTATTGGTCCTGCCGGTAGTGGCAAGGTGATGGATAAGTGCTCTATTCAGCTGTTCTTACCTTTTCTTACTTGTATGCCACTGTGTGATAACTAAAAGTTAGCATCTAACATTTCAATGGACATGGCACAGCTTTTGAATAAACGTTTCACGGATTATGAATATTCATTGTATCAAACTACTAAAGCTTGTTGTATTTGGAGTATTTTTTGTTAATATGCTCTTAAATTAATCCAAAATCATAATTCGTTCATGTCTGATTATTAACCAGCAGTTGCTTCTTAATGAAAATGTGGCTATGTATCCCAGAAAATAGCAGCTATTTCCTTTTTCATTGTTTGATTCCATCTATGAACGATTCTGGTCTAGGCTTATCGATTTTAACTAACTTCATTGAAGTTTTTACCTGAATCAGTCAACCTATTGCTCTAGCTTGCACCAACACTGCGAGACTGTTGGACGAACTATGCATGTTGTGAATCTTGACCCTGCTGCCGAGCATTTTGACTATCCTGTAGACATGGGTAGGCGTACATTACTTTGACGATCTTATGAGTTCAAATGACTGACTCACTAAACTGAAGTGATTTGTATTGCATGCTTACAGATATTAGGGAGCTCGTTTCGTTGGATGATGTTATGGAGGAGCTTGGACTTGGTCCTAATGGTGGCCTTCTATACTGCATGTAGTATCCTTAAGTGATTATGCCCTTTTCCTCCTTGAAGTTGTGGGATTCAGTCACTTAAATTCAAAAAACATGTTTTTTCCGTCTTCGTCATTGTATTGTGTATCTATCCATCAGTCATCATCCATCCATCCACCCATCCAAGAAAAAAAAAAAAAAAAAACTTTGGTTCATTTAATGAATGAACAGTTCCTTTTATTTCTGAAGTTGTGGGCAAAGATTTATAGAGTGTGTATGTCCATGTGTGTGTTCTTTAAAACCTTGTGAATTACCTTAATCTTTTATTAGACATCTTGAAGAAAATCTAGATGATTGGTTGACAGAAGAATTGGATAACTACATGGATGATGACTATTTAGTTTTTGACTGCCCAGGTTTGCATCGTTCTCTTGCGTGCTTGTGTTTGTGTATTGTTTAAGCAGATAGATGGCTATCATACTGTTGCAATTTGTACGAAGTTAGATATACTTAAATACTATGATTAATACTCTTACTACTTTAAGTTTCAACTTTTATATTTGGTCTCATCTAATTTTTTCCTTTTACTTTTCTGTCAAGGTTTTGTTTTTTCAAGTCTTTGTTAAGATGTATCAGGTATTTTTTTGCTCAGGAGGTTATTTTGGGTTTCATACTTCTGCTTTACTGTTTAGTATGATGTAATTATAGCTATAAATGAGAATGACTTCCTAGATTCTTTAGAAAATCATTGAACAAAAAAAGGTCATCTAAGTAAAGAGGTAAGAGAAACCGAACAGTGTGCTAGCGAGGACGCTGGGCAACAAGGGGTGTGGATTGTGATTGTGAGATCTCACATCTGTTGGAGATGAGAAGAAAACGTTCTTTATAAAGGTGTGGAAACCTCTCTCATGTAGATATGTTTTAAAATCGTGAGGTAGATAGTATGCAAAGGACAGCAAAGACGATATGAAAAGTAGAAGCAATAAATCCCACACTAGCAAAAGACAGTATGGCAAGGACATAGTCTAAAAAGGTGAAGCTCTTCCTTTGGGAAATAGTGCAAAAAGCCATTAGCACAAGTGAAAAACTCTAAAAAAGAATGTCTTACATCACTCCTCCAAATTGGTGTCCATTATGCAAGAAAGAAAACGAATCACAAAGCCACTTGTTTATGCAATGCACATACACTCAGAATTTCTGGACAACGATTCTCAATATATTCAGATGACATCTCACATTTCCTAGAGAGGTAAATGAATTTTTGGATATGGCTTTAACGTTCCACCCTTTCAAGAATGCAAAAGTCCTATTATGGAAAAACCTCATCATGACTTTCTTTTGGAATTTGTGGAAATAAAAAAATCAGAGTATTTGCAGAAAAGACAGATCTACACAATACTTTTTGATAATATTGTCTACCAAACTATATCTTGGTGTAAACTGTCCAATATTTGTACTTCCTATAGGTATACCTCCCTCATTGGGAAGGTCTTTTGTAAACACCATAGATTATACATCCCTTTTGTAAATTTCGATCATCAATGAAATTCTCTCTTAAAAAAAAAAAAAAGGCAGACAATGATACATAATGGGCCAAAGCAGACAATATTTGGTTACGGTAGGCTTGAGCTGTTACAAATGCTAGAGTTTTCTTTGGGAGCATTTCCATGTCACTGAAGTAGAAGTGTGCTTGTATGTGTAGCATATATTGACTACATTGGGATTAAAAATTGCAAATACGAAAACCAACTTGATCTCATAAAACACCTAATAAATCTGAGTATCAGTCATCTTATTCTAGAACAGATCTTACCTACTCAAGATACTACGACGTTAAACATAGTTGATTTTCATGCTAGAATTGGGTATTGAATATTTATCACTTTTGGCTACCATGTAGGTCAGATAGAGCTCTTTTCCCATGTTCCTGTTCTTAAGAACTTTGTGGAACATTTAAAGCGAAAAAATTTCAATGTCTGTGCTGTGTATTTGCTTGATTCTCAGGTTTGTAAATTCTAAGTTCATAACTTTCTATCACCCCAGTAATGCCTTGCTCTGTTCTTTACTCGTTTAGTGACAATTCCCCTATGTATCAGTTCATGACAGACATCACAAAGTTTATTAGTGGTTGCATGGCATCTCTTTCAGCAATGGTCCAACTTGAATTGCCACATATTAACATCCTTTCCAAAATGTATCTTGTGACCAACAAAAAGGATATTGAAGAGTATGTATCGTCTTCACCATCTGCTCCTGAATTAACTATTCCATTCCATTCAAATTTTCCTTCATTGTTTCAAATTCTTGACTTATACCCTAGCTTCTTAAATCCGGAGCCTCAAGTTTTGTTGTCAGAGTTGAATCAACGGATGGCTCCACAGTTTTCAAAGCTAAATAAAGCTCTTATTGAACTGGTGAGCAGCTTACAGTTTTTTCATACATTACTCAAGTTTCTGGTCATGGTTGAGAGTTTTTGTTTGCAGTCTACACAAAAGAATACTATTTTAGTTTCTTAGAAAGGAAGGTGATATTTTATCATAATGTTTGGAAAGATCATTGAAAATACTTTTAGTTTTTATGCACGTTACGTTAATTTATATTCCCAATTGTGTTCTTTTGTAATTTGCAATGAATGAGAAGGTTGGTTTTGTATATACTTACATCCATTTATTATTTCAGGTGGACGAATATAACACGGTGAGTTTTGTACCACTTGACTTGAGGAAAGAAAGCAGGTACTCTTTTTCTCTGTGCACTCACTCATCTCCCCTTGCACTTCTGTTTCTTGGATTTTTCTTGTTGTAGCTGCCGCAATATTAAATTTTTGAACCCGTTGTTGCCCCTGATTAGTACTATAGTTATAGTTGTTCATGGCTTTTTTTTTTTTTCTGCAGATGAGCTAGAAATTGTATAAACAAACAAGTATATTTTAGGGGAACAATAATATCTATCTGGTTCTTAGTAGACTTAACCGATTAGCATGATGTTAAATATTTCTATTCCTAACTAGAAAAGTTCTTTTTTTTTTTTTTTTTTTTTACCTCGATAGGTTGCCTAGTGAGTCACTTTTAACACTTCTAGCTTCGACAATTTGATCGTGGTGAAAACTAATAATCTCCATTAACTGAGTTTTCATCTTACGGCTGATTTGTGATTAGCTAGAAGCGTTTTTTTTTTTTTATTTGACGAGATTATTTTTTGTATACTTGTTCTTATGATCATTTTGGATATTTTTTAGTTGGAATTAAGAATTTTACTGCTACTATTGGCTTTTGTTTACTCTGTTTTTATATCCAAGTTAGTGTATTTTCATAGTTGAGTTTGTTTATATTGTTTATGTGACTTGAGGGTGTTTCAATAGTCGGAGTTTGTGCAATTTATTGGTTAATTCTTGAACAATCTTTTTATTCAAATTTGGGGTTTGATAGAATGAAATTGAAAGTTTAAGGTTCTCATATCAACACGAGTTTTGGAGTTTAGAAATTTACTTCTTTTCTCTTTCAAAATTACCAGTTCTATAGTCCTCAGAATAAATGATCGGAAATATAACAACACGACAGGAAGCTCTTATTCTTTTCTCCTGGCTTTTATACTTTGGCTTCGAGATGTTGCAGTTCATTTAAATTGGTTTTACTGTTGCATTGACTTGTCTTTGAAGGCCAAGCCTGATATGATATCGTTTGTTTTGAACAGTATAAGATACGTGTTGGCTCAAATAGATATCTGCATTCAATACGGTGAAGATGCAGATGTGAAGATTAAGGATATGGATCCAGAGGATGATGATTAAATTCCATTTCCTTTTCCATTGAACTCTTAAGATAGGATGTCCTTTTTGGGGTCTCTTTGATACTTTGTATGAACTTCACAGATCAAATCAGACAGACTTAGATATTTGAGTTAATAAGAAAGGTAAAAATGATGGTTCATATGAATTAATAGTGCTATTGCAAATTTAAGTGGGAGAGTCCACAATATATCTACATTATATGTACAATACTCACAACAGAACCACTAAAACCACTGCAGTGGAACTGTCCAGGCTATGTTCTGGCCAAGCTCAAAGCAAAACAGAATCTAGAACCCTACATGTCTAGATTCCACCAAAAAGAATTAAAACAAAGAAAGACTTGGAGAAGCAGCTTAGATTCTACATTTACAAACCATTCGTCAATTGGAATTTTAGGGAGAGAAAACAAAACCCAGATGCACACAGCTGCCAAAGATATAATTCATAACTAAAGAATTTATTTCTCTTTTACACAATAGTGAAGTACCTGATGAAGATCATACCCTTCAATAGTTGATGAAATTGAGAAAGTTCTCTTCCTATGATTTTGCTTTCCCTGTGCTTCCATCTCTTTGATTCCGAAAATGGCTGAGTAGCTGTTGTGCCTGCAATACGAGGAAAAGTGTTATTCTCCTCCTTTTCCACTCTTCCCTTGCATCGTTCTTGTACGAACGACGTAAAGTACAATGGAATCAAGTTTCTTGTATAGTTCTAGATCAACCGAACTGTCATTGAGATAAAATGTAAAAAAATACAAAGGATACTTGACAAGCCAGCCAAACAAAAAAACTGGGCAGACAAAAATCAAGCCCTCAGAGTGAGAAGGGATGTTTGCCTCTAAAGATTTTCGTAGTTATTCGTTTGGACTTTTTCTTTGAAAAACAAATGTTATTGGTTAGCTTAATCCTAATATGATTCATGAGGCGAAAAGCAAAAGGCTGTGGATTCATAGCATGAAATTACAAAAAAAGGGGAATCCCAAGGAGAATTACAGACATCTCCCATTGAAAAGGAGGGTAGAATAGATACCTTTTCTTTTGCTCTAGGTGTGCCAGACTGAGATAGGGCGACTAGAGGTGGAACGGCTCCTTCTTGGAGAACCAGGGTACAAAACTTGGGACTATGAAGGCATAGTTGCAACAGAATAGATGCAGCATTTTCCTTTCCTCTCATAGATCCACATTCAACAATTTCTACCAACAAGGGTATACCCCCTTCCCGAGCAATTGCCAATCGACCCTCTGAAATTGTCGACAAATTAGCAAGAAGTGCTGCAGCCTTATCGACCATTCCCGTAGTAGTGGCTAGTAGCCCAACAAGGTACTTAACTGCTCCTGCTTGAACTATACGAACCTTATTTTCATGAAAAATTGACAAGTTGAACAAAGCGGTGGCTGCATCTTTCTTACCCCTCAGTGTACCCTCACCTAAGAGATTGACCAAGGCTTTAACTGCACCAGACCGACCGATTTTGGCCTTGTATTCTTCCAATACAGAGAGACTGAATAAAGTTGCTGCAGAATTTTCTTTAGCAGTAGATGTTCCTGTCTTCAAAACATGAATAAGTGGTTCTATGGCTCCTCCTTGTGCAATCATGACTTTATTATTTTCATTAATTGACAGGTTTAAGAGAGCTGTCACTGCATGCTCTTGTATCTGCTTTCCATCTGAATATAACAGTGAAAGTAACGGGCCTATAGCCCCACATTGGCCTATTATAACACGGTTCTCTACGTTATCCTTGGCAAGAAGCCTTAATTCTTCTGCAGCTTTCATTTGAACTTCATCCCTTTGGCTCTTAAGGTCTGCAACTACTTTCTTGATATGCAAATCTCCCAAAGAGTTATCGGATTCAGGTTCGACTGGAACTAAGTTACCTGTTGTACTATTACAGTTACCATTCTCCACCATGCCTGTTTCTGTTTTACAAGCCTGTAATTGTCCACCTTCTAATGAGGAATTCAACCCCGATGCTTCATTATGAGATGCAGCAGGATGTTCTGATGTGATTTCGTGTTTAGTTGATATCTTCAACACCTCATTAAGTGCCGATGGAACATAATCAATGCTAGATAAGGCACTGGAGGCTGATACACTCCTGCTGTAGATATATGACTGCTGAGGGGAAGGGTGGTCAAACTTTTCGGTTTCATTTCTCTGGCCTTCATTAGATTTTCCCCCAATTAAAGTAGTAAAAACGTCCCCATTTCGATTGTTAGAACCCTTTTCAACTTCAGGAGATGATCGAGAGCTATCACTTCGATTTGAATCCTGCTGAGACAATTGAACCAACGATGATAAACTGGAAATATTCAGTTTGTTTTCATCGCACCAACTCAAAATCATGGCTTTAACAGTGTAATTGGGAATAAGATTTGTATGCGTGAGCGTCTGATGAGTGTTGGGGCAGATGTTCAGCCCACTATCTATCCACTTTTGAATGGAGGACCTGTCATAGGTTTGGCCAGACGCCACAATTACTGGATCAAGCATCAGTTCCAACGACAATGGACAGCGGAAGTATGAAGGAACTGATACTCCATTTATCCCATGAAAATAGTCCTTTCTAATCATCCAATCTCGTATACGGATAATTAGACCCATAATTTCATTGATCCGATATAGTTCCTCTTTCACATTGTTTCGTTCAGCATCGATTCTCTCCTTTTCGACTGCTATAGTCTCCTTCAGAAGTTCTTGATTCGACATCAAATGAAGAACTTCGATAATTTTTAGAAGATCTTCGGAGTTCGGACCAATGCCACTCCTTTGACTAATTAAAGCCTCTTCTATAGATTCAGATATCCTTTCCTGCTTCAATGATTGAAGACCTTCAAGACATTTCTGGACAGTTCATTAGATGTCAATGTTATTTGTGTCAAATAACCAGACAAGATGTATCAAAATCAAGAGAACTCCTTAGATTTCATAAATGTTTCCAAATTTATACATACCTGAATAGCATTTACACTTGAGCTACATGATACTGATTCCGACAACTTCCATACAATCTCACAAATCTCTTGTAAAGAGCTTTGAATCTTTATAAGCAGCGGATCACATTTCAAAGCCTAAGATGATGCAAAACAGGAGAAATTACTAAAGTTTGGATGATAGAAGAATTGAATTTGGAATATAAGAGAAAGCTGATTCTTAAGGTACTTACGCTGCAAATTTTGCTCATCTTTGGACACCAGTTTTCAATGAACTCCCGAGCATCATTAACAGCGATATCCAAAGACTCACATTCTCTATAAAGTAACTCATCTGAGGATAGTTTGAGACTAACGACATCATCAAGCACGAGTTTAAGATGTTTCAAGACAACAGCAAGATTCTTGCAGTTTTTAGGAAGAGGCAAAGACTTTGTAGTATGGCATGAAACCAGATGAATGAATCTGGAAGTACTGTTAATTAGACATTGTACAGAGGCTGTTCCCATTTGTCCTGATTTCAAGGATATATGACAACATTAGCAACAGGCAAACACAATATATGGGCTAAAACTAGTATGAATATAAGGTCCTCACGAAGACAAGATATTGATTTACATTAACGTTAAAGAAGATAATTGTAACAGCTCAAGTCCCTGCTAACAAATATTGTCCTATTTGGGCTTTCCTTTTCGGGCTTCTTCTCAAGGCTTTTTAAAATGCGTCTGCTAGAGGAGAAGTTTTCACACCCTTATAAAAAATGCTTCGTTCTCCACCCCAACCTCAGCCGATGTGGGATCTCACAATCCACATTTTAAAAACCTTAAGGGGAGACCCGAGGAGGACAATGTCTGCTAGCGGTGGACTTGGGGCTTTACCATAATGAATATTCATCTACATCAAAACAGAGATTTCACCACTCAAGTCCACCCATGAGGTGAATACAATCGGTCACAAAATAACAAGTGTTAAACAGAAACGTTTTAAGAACAGATTTAAGCATCATCCAGAACCATCAAGTAATCTACTGTACCAACCAGGCAAACATAGAACTTGTCCAAAGAACTTAAGGTTTCTTGTGTTCAAAGATAGAAATTCCATCACACTTGCAAGAACACATCCAGTTTTTTTCCACCATCCCTTCAGAGGATCATTCTAAAATAAGATCCAGCTAGCGTCCTTAAACTTAGAGACTAGACATTCTAAAGAAAGCATTTCAGCAGTAGAAACAAGGACTCCTAGAGGTAGTAAAATTTAACTATCACCTTGAGACTCGCCATCACGCAAGGCTCTAACTTTTGGCCGCGAGACTAGCATTGTTTTGCACCACAAGAGGCTTACGCCTCGACGAAAATGCACTGAGGCTTCAAGTCTCTATGCCTTGTAAATGATTAGAAGAATAGTATTAATTTGCCTCATTCTTCAATGTTTTAAACAGCTACTGAGGCTTAAACCTTGAGACTCGCCTTCACGCAAGGCTCTAACTCTTGGCCTTGAGACTTGCATCGTTTCGTACCATAAGAGGCTTACGCCTCTATGAAAATGCACTGAGGCTTCAAGTCTCTATGCCTAGCAAATGATTAGAAGAATAGTATTAATTTGCCTCATTCTTCAAAACTATACACATTAGAGTTCTAACAATTTGAAGTATTACTACTTTACTACATTGAAAATCATTGCATTTGATACAAGATAAAATTATAAGAAGGAAGACCAAGCAAGGCCAAGCCTGTTAAAGATATTACCACATTCATTTCTCACATAAATCCCTATGAATTAGCAGCCAGCTTAAGAACTCACTCACCAAGAACCCTAATCCAATCTATCCATTGACACTTAGTTAAACTGATTCCATTGTAACAAAGTTCTGTATTCCTTCACTCGATAAACAGAAGATTTCCAAATCCAGGAAACACCCCAAAACCCACATCGCAACCACGAGAAAAGACGAACAAAATTTCACAACAATTTCTTTAAAAAGATCAAAACTCATCATTCGGAGCCATACACACATTGATGAACAAAGGGATTAACATTATTACCTGCGACTTGAAAGAGGCGAATCACGGCACAACCGGATCGAAGAGGAAAACCATTTCACAAAAATCCTCCACAGAAACTAAACGATGAGAAACTCCGCGCACCGTTTTGCAATATCGTCTCGAAGCGAGCGAAACAGAGGTAGAATGAAAGGGGGAAAATGGGAGAAATGGCGAATTGCTGCAAGTGGGTACCTCCGTTGCAGAGGTTCGTTGTTTTGTAATGGTAAAAAAAGGGTATGGAAGAAACTGAAAGGGAATGGAAGATTGAAAAATGGGGAATCGAAAAATCCCCACGAAGAAATGAGAATTTCTTAAGGACAATGATTGGATCGAGAGAAGAACTAATTTTGAGTTCTTTTAATGGATAATGAGAAGTCATGGCTTCCAATAGATATGGATTCCCTCACTCCGCCCTGCACAAACGTGGATCGTCTTGTGAATTTACCATTATACCCCTCTTCTAAGGTTTTTATTTCTTTCTTCCTTTATTCTGTCATTATGTGTGGCTTTTTTTTTTTAATAATATTTTGTTTTTTTTCCGAGGAAAATAGGAAATATGTGTGGTATAATTAAATTGATATATATATATATATATTTTAATTTCTTAATTTCACGACCCAAAAGTATAAATTGGATAGACTGTGATGTACATTGATGTAAAAACGATGGTACGTTGAAGTAAAAAATGGGAAGATAAATATGAAACGTGTGAATAGAGTCCAAAGGGAGGGGTGTGGAGACAGGGAAGTCTTCACCGTCCCTAACCTTGTTTAGCTAAGCAAGAAAAATTTCCCTCCCACTCCCTCCCCGATTTAAAGGGGATTCCCCATCTCATTTGGGGTGCGTCGAACACACAGTTAAATGGTGACTCGTTAACGGCTCCTATTTTTGTACTTTTCTCGAACAATCAAGCAATGATCTTTTATGCTTGTAAGCAGTTAGATTATCTCCAAAATAATCTAGTAAAATGCTCGTACTCACTTAACCTTGGTTTCGAGCCAAACCTCGAAAACAACTCAAATTAGACTATATAATTAACAAAACAAAGTGTAAAATAGTTCAATAACTAGTCAGAGTAGATGCAATGAAGAAGTAGGGTCGGAAACGATAACTATTTCTTCTCAAGCTCAACAATGACAAAATTACCCTTTTTTTAATATTAAAACTAACATTAATATTCATAGACTTATATATATATATATATATATAATTTCTGAGTCAATAATTTTTTTTTGTTTTTTTAATACTTTTTAATTCCCATTCTTTTATTCTTGTATCTCTAATTTTTTAATTTTTTTTCCGATTTTTTTAAATATCAATACCATAAAAATACAGCTTGAATACAATAAATTTTAACATCCAAATAGATAGTTTATTTTTAAATTAATTTTTTTTCCAACTATATATAATTTTTGTCCATAAAACAAAAGAAAAATATTGAAATAATATTTTTATTAATTTAACATAGATTATATAATTACTATTTTCAGAAAATAGATAAAATTAGAGACAAAAAAAAAACATTTTAAAAATACAACGAAAATGAAAATATTAGCATTTAAAGGGTAAGGAATAATAAATGTAAGAGATGGGTGGGGGGAAAAGCTCCATTTTTAAAAAATGTTAAATAATAATAAATAATAATAATAATAAATAAAAAAAGAAGCTTACGCAGCTGATTAGACATGGCAGACGAAACGCTCACCTTCCCCATCTGCCTTCCTTTATTGGACGTTGCATTTCCTCTCATTCATTTCCTCTGCTCTGCTAAATTCCACTTTCCAACCCTTACCGGATCAGATCCCCCCGCCGCCCGCCATGGCTTCCGCCGCCGCCGCCCCCAAATCCCCCTCTCTCCCATGGAAGACCCGCCTCCTCGTCTCCCTCTCCTCCGTCTGCAGCGACCTCGTCACTCGCCGCAACGGCACACTCAACCGCCGCCTCTTTCGTCTCTTCGATTTCAAATCCTCTCCCAATCCCGTCAAGCCTATCCACGGCGTCCTCTCCTTCGACGTCATCGTCGATTCTTCCCGCAACCTCTCTGTTCGCGTCTTCACTCCTCGCTCCGACGCTCCCACTCTTCCGATCCTCATCTTCTTCCACGGCGGCGGCTTTGCCTTCCTCAGCAACGCCTCTTTCTCCTACGCCGCCGTCTGCCGTCGTCTCGCTCGTCGCATCCCTGCCGTCGTCCTCTCCGTCGATTACCGTCTCTCTCCAGAACACCGCTTCCCTTGCCAATACGACGACGGCTTCGACGTCCTCCGATTCCTCGACCACGGAAACAACACTATCGGTCTCCTCCCTCCCAATGCCGATCTCTCCAAATGCTTCCTCGCCGGCGACAGCGCCGGCGCCAATCTAGCACATCACGTAGCCGTACGATTCTCTCGGCAGAAATCGCAGTTCCAGAAGGTCAAAATCATCGGATTAATATCGATTCAACCGTTCTTCGGCGGAGTAAAACGGATGGAATCCGAAACTCAATTAGATCCAGGATACATCGTTTCGCTTAAAAGAACAGACTGGCTATGGAGGGCGTTTTTACCGGAAGGATCGGATCGAGACCATTCTGCATCGAATGTGAGCGGGCCGAATGCGGAGGCGATTGCGGAACTGGAGGAATTCCCGGCGACGGTTGTGTTCGTGGCGGGATTCGATCCGTTGAAGGATCGGCAGAGGAGGTATTACGAATGGTTGAAGGAATCCGGAAAGAAAGTGGAATTGATCGAGTATCCGAATATGATCCATGCGTTTTACCTGTTTCCAGAGCTGCCGGAGAGTTCCGCCATGATCGATCAGGTGAGGAGCTTCGTCTTCAAATGTATGGAGGCATGAAAATGACATGTTCATTACGATCTTCACCGTTAAGATATTATTGTAGGTGGCAGAGACTGACTTTATTAGCTCTGCCCACATCTAAATCTTTTCTTTTTTTCTTAAAAAAAAAAAAGAAAAAACTTTAAATATTTATTTTTTCTATTCTAGTGTTTGTAATTTTAGACCATCAAATTATATTATGTTTTTAATAAATATTTAAAATATCTATGCTTACCTTTCTTATTATTATTTTTTCTTTTAGCATTATCAAAATTATTATTATTATTTTACTAATTTTAAGTTTTTTTAAAATTAAAAAACTGTATTTAAATATTTTAAATACATTATTAAAATGAATTAAATTTAAAGTATAGGGATCAATATAATCAAAATAAATATAAATATGATAGAGGGAAATAAGTATAATAATATCAATATAAGTATAAAATATGTTTAACGGAACTAAAAATTAATTTATATTATTTATACCTTGTAAACTTTCATTTTTTTTATTAAATTATATTTAATTTATATAAATGATATATTTTAACGTTTTTTTTTTTCATTTATCTCATTTCCAAAATACTAAAACAAATATATAAATAATGGGTCTTTTTTGTTTGAGCATCAAAGTTGAGATGGCCGAGTTGGTCTAAGGCGCCAGATTAAGGTTCTGGTCCGAAAGGGCGTGGGTTCAAATCCCACTCTCAACACTTTTTATTTATTTTTTTAATTTTTTTAGGGTTCTAAAGTTTTTTTAGAGAAAAACAAATTAAGGAGTAAACTAGAAGGAAACTTCCAAGCCTTGTGATTATCACTCATATGAAAGGAAGGATTGGGAGATATATGATAGCTTCAAGCAAGGAACTACGGATGGATAGCTTTCTTGTTCATTCGGGAAGTTTTTAGGCTCTTCATTGTCATAATCCGCTTCCATCAACGACATCAATCAATGTCGGTTGATAGCTTGATCTTGATATCGATTTCAAAAACCCATCTAGAGGTTCTCCATTTTTCTTTGTTTCATCATGAACTTCTAGCTAATGAGCATACTGATTAGAAATCATTCTCGTGACAATGTACATACTCAAACTCGATTGAAATCCGTGTTAATATTTCGCTAAAGCCCCTAACTGAAGTTCTTAGGCTCTTCGTTGCCATAATCCGCTTCCATCAACAATATCAATCGGTGTCGATCGATAACGTGAAAACACTTCTTGACATTGAATTCAAAAATCCGTCTAGAGATTCTCTCCATTCTTCTTTGTTTCATCATGAACTTCTGGCCAATAAACATACCAATTAGAAATCATTCTCATAACAATGCACAACTCAAACCCCATTAGAAATCTATGCTAATATTTCGCCAAAGACCCTTAACTAAAGTTCTTAGGCTCTTCGTTGCTATAATCTACTTCCATCAACAATATCAATCGGTGTCGATTGATATCATGAAAACACTTCTTGATATCAAATTCAAAAACTCGTCTAGAGATTCTTCTCGCTCATTCGTGTTCATCATGAACTTCTAACTAATGAGTACACCGATCAAAAATCATTGCCGTGACAATGGTGAATCAAAATGATTACTAAATCCCACAAATTTAAAAGCCGATAAGTCAAGTAAATTAATCTTTGAGTTCATGAAGTCTTTAACATTGAGCCACTCAAATTGAGAACACCTAGCGTGTATATCATAATCATCATCATCATGAATCAATGCAGAAAAGCATAGATAGCAGTGGAAATATAGACCAAAAGAGCAGAGGAAACCAGAACAACAAGCGCGGCCACAGCATGAACAGCCGATTTACTCCCACAGGACAGCATCCCAAGGCGAATTTGAATGACATTCACCATCGACAGCATCAGGAACAAGCAGCCCATCATGGATCCAAGGGCGGAGGCCAACATCCCAAATCTGAGCACCTTCAAATTGATGTGTGCCCTAAACGCCTCATCCACATCCTTACTGTTCAAAAGGTTAATCGCAAGCTTCAATCCCTGCGCCACAAGAGACGAGAACAGAAAAAAGCTAAACGACACCACCTCAAACACCAGAAGCTTCCGAGCAACATCAATGCCGGCGTCGCAGACCGAGGAATTCTCGAGACTATGCTGCCCTGGCGTCGTCAAGGAAAGCCCTACAAACACCGCGATGGTGAAAAGCGAATTCACATTCACGAGTCCGTCGAGTGTCGTAACGTGGACGCTGGTGGTGGAGGAAGACGACGGCGAGGAGGCGGAGGCGATTCGGAATTCATCGCCTCTTCTCCGGCCATTCTGATTGTCTTTTGGATACGCCTCGGATCTGATCAGAAACAGAGGGAAATGAGATGAAAAAACGAAACGAAACGAAACGAAAAGAGAGAGAGATTGAGCTTACTTACTCTTCCATGGCGGACTCTGAGATGCGGTCGGAGAAGATTTTCCGGCGAGAAGGTTTGTTTTGGGGATTATTGGAAAACGCAAAAGAAAGAGATGCGTTTTGGAATCAGCTTTGTTTCAGAGGTTGCCGCTTTATTCTTATGATGTTTCTTGGTCCAAGAAAGGTCAAGTCAAGTCAACGCTAGTCGTGTGGGTCCTGGTTCTTTGCACGTTAAATTAATAAAAACATTTGAATTCTCCAAGTTTTAACGTAAAATCCGATTTCCTTTTCCAAAACGAAGAACAATTTCTTGATTCCACAAGAGAGAGCGTCCGCAATCCCTAATTTTATAACTTCAAGAACAGTTGAACATGATTTGTTGCTTTTACTTCACAATCAGTTCTCGCCGTCTAAAACTCATTCGACGGCCTCACAGTTCGTCGGCAAGATTCTATGCCGTCGCATCCCTTGATCGTTTCAATCAGTGAAGGGGAAGAGATTTCAGTCATACTCCCAAGTTTCTGTTCATTTCATCTTCGATTTGGATGCAAAGCGCTCTCGACGGATTCGGGATTTCGATTCAGTGAGTTCTCATAATCTGTTTCTAGGTTTCCGTTTCGTCTTTCTTCTGTTTTGTTTTACATTCTCTGGTTCTTCGCTGCTTGGATTCTGAAACGTTTGTAATTTTCAGAATATTTTGTTGTTCTTTGTTCCAAGTTCATGCCCTAAATTTGCTGCTAATGAATTTTCCCTGGAAGATTCTTGATCTTGTGCTACATTTTCGTTCTTTTACATAGTTGATTGATAGTTTTACTGCTATTTGGTTAGAAACTGGGCTGCCACTTTCTATATTGGTTATGTTAATGAATGTGTTGCAGTGAATTTAGACGACGAAACAGGGCGAGCACACGACTCTATTGAGATTAACGGAGATGCAGCTGAAGGAAATTTGATTTTGGAGCCATATGTTGGTATGGAGTTTGATTCTGAAGATGCTGCAAGAAAATTTTATGTTGAATATGCGAGACAGATGGGGTTTGTCGTGCGAATTATGCAGCGACGTTGTTCGGGAATTGATGGAAGAACGTTAGCCCAGAGGCTTGGATGTAATAAACAAGGTTTCTCTCCGAATCGAAGAGGGATTTATGGATCAGATAAGAAACCACGGCCTAGTTCACGAGAGGGCTGCAAGGCAACGATTTTGGTGAAAATGGAGAAGTCTGGAAAATGGATTGTTTCAAGAATTGTGAAGGATCACAATCATCCCTTAGTTGTTTGTTCTAATGGTTTCAGCTGCTCGGTGAGTTATTCTGATTCTAGTTTATTTTGTTTGTCCTTTTTTTTTTATGACTATAACTAGAATAAGCCACGGTAACTATAACAGCTCAAGCCTACTAGCCGATATTGTCCTCTTTGCCTTTAGGGTTTCCCTTCAAAGTTTTTAAAACAGGTATGCTTGGGAGAGGTTTACACACCCTTATAAAGAATGCTTTGTTCTCCTCCCCAACCAATGTGGGATTCCACAATCCACCCCATTCGGGACCTAGCATCCTTGCTGGCACATTGCCCGGTGTCTGGCTATGATACCATTTGTAACAGCCCAAGCCCACTGCTAGCAATATTGTCCTCTCCAATCATTGTATAATTATTAGGAAATCCGGGTTCCTATTAAAAGGATTTTGGCTCTAAGTTGTAGGATGAGTTTTCTCCGCCGTTCAACTATGCTTCGTAGTTGAAAAAGGGTTTATGTTGACTTAGATGCTGTGATACCATGCATTAAGTTCCTTTATTTCTCTGTTTGAATCTATACAAAACTTCTCTTGGTTCGGAAAAAATGTGTAACTTTTGCCTAAATCAATGAAAAATGCATGATTTCTTGGAAAGCATTTGGGAGAAACCTCTCTATTTAATGGAAGAGAATGAAGAAGAGTGATAGACTGCCTTATTAATGTGTACATTGGGAGATGGTTAGGGTCAGTCGAGTAAAGTCGTTACCAGGTTGGACCCTATGATAGTAACTGACCTTGGCATGGAACGCTGGTAGTGGCTAGAGCTATTTAGTGTAGGGTGTTACGCTGGTAGTGGCTGATAACATTTGAACACGGTAGAAGGTGGAGTAAATAGTGTAGGGGGTGTTACATAGTTCATGGATTAACACTTGTTTTTTATCTGCATTTGAGAAAATTTGGTATTGATTTTCATTGAAGCCAGTCCAAATGGATAGTTGCGTTGAGTGGAGAGATAGTGGTGAAAGGACAGAATTGGACTTTTGGCGGATAGAGGTTTTCACACCCTTATAAGAAATGCTTCATTTCCCTCTCCAATTGACGTGGGATCTCACAATTCACCTCTCTTGGAGGCCCAGTGTCCTCGTTGGCACCAAGCTCACCGCTAACAAATATTGTCTGCTTTGGCCTGTTACATATCGCCCTCAACCTCACGGTTTTAAAATGCATCTACTAGAGAGAGGTTCTCACACCCTTATAAGAAATGCTTCGTTCTCCTCTTCAACCCACATGGAATCTCACACATTTGGAGAATCCTAAGTGTGTATTGGCTATTGATCTTTGGGGTGCGACAAAGTTGATTGGACATAGCTAATTAAATTTGGGCAGGAGATTGGAGGATCTAAGTCTACTCTAATCTCAGGTATCACTCAAGAACGGTACAAAATATAGCTGAAGCTTATGATATTGGGAACTAAATCCTGTCATGGACTTTCAGATAGAAAAATGTAACCTAGATATTATTAGGTTAGATTAGATCTATTCTGTGTTCCATTTGAGGCTCATCTGATGGTTGCACTGTCTGTATTCTGTAGCATGTAGCAAATTGAATATATTTTCTCTACTTTTTAATCTTTGATGTTCTGGGTTTATTCAAATCTACGACGTATGAAGTGAATCGACATTGATACTTGTAGGGCGATAAAGATAAGAAGATCGAGGAACTTAAAATGGAGTTGGAGCATCAAGAGCAACAATGCGTAGCTTACCGGGAAAAGCTTTTCGATTTCATCTCAACGGTGGAGGAACAAACAGAAGAATTGTCTTCAAAAATACAAATGATCATCGGCAATGTAAGGCAAGTTGAATCTGGTACGCAAAAACATTATCCATTTCGACAATAGTAAATAAAACTTGAATATGCACAGAGTTGAAAATTTGAGTCTCAATGATGTTCTTGATTTAGTAATGTATAGCAGCCATTGATGCATTGATCTGAAGATGAGAGTATTGAAAGAATTTCGTAGCGTTTTCTGGTCTTGAATTTATGCTTTTTATTCTTCGAAGTTTGGTTGAAGTTTATAACTTTCCCTTTCGATCCGCTAAACCTTATTTTAGGACGAGAAAGAAAGGAAACCCTAACATGTAAAAAAGTAACTTTGTTAGTCGAGTTTGATCACCTAGATTATCATACAAAGATCGAATCTAATATTAAAAAGGTTATAAAAGATTTAGTCCACATAAAAGCATTTTATGGTTTAGGGTTTAGGAGTTGGACCATTTTGTGCCTCTTCTTACATTTCTTCGTTGTAATGAATCTTTTGTTCTTAGGCTGCGTCAACCGGTCTTTATTACCAATAAGAACTTTTATGATAATCTAATTTTAGTTCAATAAATGAAAGGAAAACGGTCCCTCTGGCTCGATCAGTCATTCTTTTTTAGTTCAACAATTATAGGGTGAGAAATTAAATCATAAACTTAATCTATTTTTCTTTATCTAACGAGAAAGTAATGAAAAAATGTCTATGTTTTCATTAGGCATGAACTGATCTATCACGTTAAATTTTAACGTTTATGATATATAGTAATTGAATCTTAATGGATGTCAATATAAACATAGCTCAACTGAAACTTATTCAACACGTTTTTATCTTTGAAGGTACCTATTATCGTTATAATAAACTAATTTCTATTGTTTTAACGTATAAATTTGTCAGAAAAAAGTTGGTAGGAAAAAAATAAAAACAAAGAAAGCCAAAATATGTAGGAGAGGAAGAGTGACTAAAGTATTGTTTGTTTGACCAATTGTAACCTAACTCGATTAATTTCAAAGCTTGTTGGTTGAGTTTAGTAGCCCATGACTTAGTTAGTTAACCTAATCATAAAATATATTTACTTTATTTTAGTTTGGCAAATATGTCTATCACTAATAAACTTCTATCAAAATCGAAACAAATTTTCTTATACATCAACATACTATCATACGTGAATGTATTATCCTTTCAAACTTTAAAGTACATCAACAAGCCATCACACACACAAGGTGAGGGAGAGATATCAACGATGGGTTAGAGAGAAATTGGGAGATATCGATGAAGGGGCGAGTGAGTCGAGAATGGTAGTCAGGGTTAGAATCGAGAACGTGGGGAAATAAATCGTTGACTGCAATCAGCGTCTAATGGATTGATGAACTTGTTAGTTTTTTTACATACTCGAACTGAAATCAAAATGTACCGTATTTCCCATATCTTTTAACTTGTGTCGTATCTGTCATTAATTTACACCAAATTACTATCGATACAATCGAAAAAAAAATCAAATTTTCATCGAGGATGAACGAGATTATCCCGTCAAAATCAAACTTTATGCACCACATAATTTCAAACCATGATAATTTATTCATGTTTTAGTTTAGAAATTTGACTCAATTGTATTGTGTAGGTTAGATCATCGCCAACGTCATTCACCATGCCTCCATGTCTCCACTAACTTACAATAACCTTCATATTTCTATTCATTTCTTTATATTTTTACAAACTTTTGACATTTCCCATTCATATAATTATATAATTGTAACTAACGCTAGTAATGATCCGTTATCTATCGTTGTCAGTCTCATAGTCTTAAAATGTATTTATTGGGTCTAGCTCTATTTCGACTAGTGCCTTATACCGTCCGATGATGGGCTCTGATACCATTTGAATAGTCCAAGCCCACCACTAGAAGATAGTGTCCGTTTTGGCCTATTACGTCTCACAGTTCTAAAACGCATCTACTAGGAAGAGGTTTCCACACCATTATAAGAAATACTTCGTTTCTCTTTAACTAACGTGAGATCTCTCGTCTTTAAACAACTTTTTAAAAAAATAAATATATATAAAAGGATAAAAGATGGAAAATATGACCTATGAAATTATATTTTAGGAGAGTAAAGTTAATGGGCAGCACGTATGGATTATATATTTATTTGTCATTAAAATATATTTATGAAACTATTACGAATTTAACCTTATAGAGACCACACTAAATGTTCTTGACTGTATTCAACTTAGTAATCCATTCCTTTCATCTTTTTGCATTAATAATTGATTTATATAATTGAAGTTTGATTTTATAATAATTAATTAATGATTTATTTAATCCTTCAGATTTATTTTTTTAAAAAAAACATTAATAAAATAGGAAAATTCAAACTTAAACAAATTTTTATAAAGATGGTACGTTGAATTTGCAGCTAACGTTTTACTTTTTCTCGACCGTATTTTTTTCTATTACAACAATGTCAAAAAGAGCAATATTCGCTTAATAAGAAGTAAGATTACATCATTTTTTTAATTGAAATAGTTAATATATTATGTATAATCGCTATCTAAGCACCCGAAGTTATGTCAACACAACCATTAATATTTAATAACGAAATTTATGATTTAACCTAATATATCCCTTCATACCTCGAGTCAAACGTAGGACCATACATCACGTTATCTTTTGATTAAAATAATCCTTATACTTGTAACAGTTCAAGCTCACGGCTAGCAGATCTTATTCTCTTTAAGCTTTCTCTTTCAGGGCACGTGTTGTCATACATAAGACAAGTCTTCCTAAAAAACAATATACACTAGCAGAGGGTTTTAGCTGAGATCAATAGACACAACTATTGACATTCAAGAACGAAATTTGTAATTTAACCTGATAGATCACGTAGGCTCTCGAGTTAAATGTAGGGTCGTTTTGATACACAAAAATATCCGTTATATTTGACTTTGTGTGACAAAAAAGGTAAGGAAAGATGGAAGCAAAAAGGGGTATTATAAATAGATAGAGATGAAGGGAAGAGGATGAAGAAAATGGGAAGGGCTCCATGCTGTGAGAAAGTGGGGCTGAAGAGAGGGCCATGGAGCCCTCAAGAAGACCAAATTCTCATCAAATTCATTCAACAAAATGGGCATTCCAATTGGAGGAAACTTCCCAAAAGAGCTGGTTTATATCTTATTTGCAAAACCCATCATGTAAATTCTCTTCTATTTGTATCTTATCGTTTGTTTTGTATCGTATTGTAGGACTGTTACGGTGCGGGAAAAGTTGCAGGCTTCGATGGATCAATTATCTAAGGCCAGACCTTAAACGAGGAGATTTCACTCGTGAAGAAGAGGAAACGATTATAACCTTGCATCAATTATTGGGAAACAGGTGCTTCTTGATCTTTTTCAAATGGGTATCCTCGAAATAGTTCGATTCTTGGGTTTGTTTTAGTTCAACGGATCGGAGGGTTCAAATCACTGAGCTCTTAGTTGAGAGTGATATTCTTTGACTAATTGAGCTATATTCAAGTTAATCGTTGTTTTGAAACTTTACTAAAAGTTTCATTTTTTATGGTACAAAAACAATATTGTTTGTTTAAATTATCAAGTATATCTATTACAAATTTGGTAATGGTATTATTTAGTTATGTAATTTCTTTGTATTATTTAGATGGTCGATGATTGCAGCAAAGTTACCTGGAAGAACAGATAACGAGATTAAAAATGTTTGGCACACTTCTTTGAAGAAGAGATTAAACCAAAACCAAACTCGAGAGGATCACACCGAGCTAAACAAGAATGACATCCCTTTTCGAGATCAACTACCATGTTCATTGGATATCAAATTGGACGGAGAGGAAAATGTGGATCGTTGTACTAAGAACAACGATGATGATAATGATACCAGACTCGAGGAGCTTGCTTTTACAAAAGATTTCTTAGAGAATTTATTTTCGGAAGAAGAAATTTGTCCAAACAATTGTGATATGATAAAAAATGATGATAAATCCCCCAAAGAAGTTGAAATTTCTTCGGATACAGTTGATATCATGGATTTTTGGAAAGGTATTTTTATGAACGATGGAGAGTTACCTGAGCTACAAGAAATTAATATAATATAAAAAAAAATTGGAAATTTAATGAATTTCCATATTAATTATCTGAATATTCTGTTCTAAGTTGTACACATTCCTAAATAATAAAATTATATATACATTATTTATTTTATTTCTATAAATGTTTTTTCTCTAACCATTCTCAAAAATAAATTTTAATTATTTTAAAAAAATTCAAAATATAAATAGATAAATAGAATTATACAAGCTAAAATTTTACTTTTATTAAAAATGAAGCGTGATTAATTTAGAGCAATCCTATGTTAAGTGATCTAAATTAAGTACCTAACATACCTATGGTAGGTGATCTCCTACACCGTGGTCATGTCGTGAGGATGGAAGAGTGCCAAAATCATTAAATAATGTGACAATGACATAAGTCCGATACCATTGATGTCCAATAGCTTTGATAGTCATGGCTGGATCTACTACTACCTCGTTTGTAATCAGGCATCTTGATCCAAATCTTAGGCAAAGGATGTTACCATTTTTAAACCAAAAGAACAAATACATCGAGATATCCCTAAAACTTAAAAAAAAAAAAAAAAAAAAAAAAAAAAAAAAAAAAAAAAAAAAAAAAAAAAAAAAAAAACTCATTAACAATAAAACTCAAGAAAACACCAAAATGAAGCATGGAGTCTAAGGTCACCATGCAACATAATAGTAACAAATAATGGACCAAATGGACAATTTAACATTTTGTTTAGCAATACTCCATAGGCAAAGCAGCATAGTTCCAATCATCAAACATTAGTAGTACTTCATGTTATCGACTTGAACTCTATTCACTTCATTTATAATATAAAACCATCTAACAAGTGTGGCCAAACACAGATATAAATAGCTATACCTCCCTCCGTTGGCCTCGGTGAGGACGGGTTGGTTACTTGGTGAACAAGAGGAGTCGGAGAGCTCGTTTTTCACCTCTGTAGATGATGACAAAGACACCATCAGAGGCTCGATTTACAGCATTCACAATGTCAAGTCCGGATCATCGTCATAGTCGAAATCTTGCTCGCTTGAATGTCGCATTCTCTTTGCATCCCTCGGGGTTGGTCTTCCCTTTTTTGGTTTCCCTCTGCATACCCAATGCATAAATTTTCACATAAACCAACCTTCAAAGCTCATTGTTCTAAAGTAAAATAGTTCAGGTTACAGATGTTATTTCTTTGTTCCTTTTTATATGAGGGTGTTTATTGTTAAATGGTGTTTCAAGTTACAGAAATTTAAAGCAACATCATCAAACGAAGGAAACAATTGGCAGAATACTAACTGTCCATTGGAATATATGCCTCCACCTTTAGATCTGCCAGGACCCAAGTCGGATCTCCCATCTTCAACATGGTTCACAAAAGAAGACTGTAAAATTTTAATTCCAAAAAAATAGAAGTATATATTCTTACTGATATCGCTCACCATCTCGTCCAGCTGCAAGCTCTTCAGCCTGAAAATTGAAGGGAAAAGAAAAAAGAAAATATGAAATCCGGGAGCAAACTAACAGTAGAAACTATGGCGAGAGGAAGAGAGGTTGGGACACAGTGTAGTAGAAAGATACGAGAAATGAGAAACTTTAGGACAGAAAAGGGCTAAAAGTACAAGATAACAAATTTTACATTTTCCAGATGGAAAACAAAGTATATTCTATAGCGTATACAGTGAAACTTCAATGCCATATCGTGCTCTTCTCGGCATTTTAACATCTCTTGGTATTGGAACAGCACCCTAAACCCTAAACAAGTTTTTAAAAGGAAAACAGACATAAAATAAGCAGGAAGGCTCTCAAGAGCAGCAGCATTACATAAAATCAACCTTAATCTTCTTACTTTTCTCACTGCAACCCACCTTCTCAATAATCAGCTTCCAAAACCCTTCCTTTCTAGGACTTCCCTCCCAAGGAAAAACTATGAAAAATGATTTCTCGTATAGCATAACTAAAAGTATTCTCGGGAAAAACTATGGCACCAAGGAGAAGTTCTTTGTCCTGTAAGTAGGAAGAATTTGATTGTAGTATCTAATGCAAGATACATAAGCATAGGAGAATCTCAACTTCTTTGCTCATTAAATGAAAAACTGTCCATGTGAGAGAGTACGACCAGAATAACCAGAAAAAACTTAAATTTCCAATTCCACCACAGGTTGAATCAAAGTACATACAGCAGGGGAGGTAACTGAAGACAACGAGAAGAGCCTATCGTCAAGCTGAAATTTCCTAGACCGCTTCAAACTGCATCCACAAGTATTTGGAAACTTTACTCCACTTTCATATTTTTAACAAAAATACAAGCCTTCCATTAAAATCAATAAAAGTACCCAAAATATGACCTAACAACAAAATAAAAGGGAAGGAAAAAAAAAAAAAAACTTTGTAAAAATACTGAACATTAAATGAACACCACCTCCAAAGATCTAAAGTGTAATATTCCCTAAATTATATTTTGATAGGAAAGAGAAAATTTCATTCATCCCATTAGTAAACGAAAATTCAATTAACATAAACCTCAGTGTGTTAAGAAGACAAGAAACACACAAGAATCAAGTAACTTTAAAGGAAATTTGCTGAGAAATAATATTATAGACACTCCATACAGAGCAGAATTCTTAGATGCAGACAGGAATCCTTCAAAACCTTTCAATACATTCCCACATTGGCTTGGATCCTGTAGGTAATTAGTCTCCATGTCATAGACCTGCATATTTTACAGAATATAAGTATTGACTTTACATGGAAGATAAACAAAAGAAGTTATCCTAAATGTTTTTTAAGAATACAACACTGTTGTTTTTTGCTAATGGGGCAAGCTATTGAAATTTAGCTACCCATGAAATAAAAAGTTAGGTTATTGTAACTTTACAAATATATCAACAAAAAGTTTCGGTTTCGTTCAATTCTCTTTCTTTTTTTTTTTTTTTTTTTTTTTTTTAATAAAGAAAATTACTTTCTGCTGGTGCAATAAGTTGTGAGAACGTTTCTTAAGATCTTTAATCTTCTTTGGTTTTTGATAGAAGATAAAGGTAGAACTCTCCTGCTGCTAATGGGAGTAAAGCTGAAAAATAAAGCTAGGTTGTTGCGGGTAAATGCAGTAAAAACTACTCTTTAGTGTACTTGGTTTGCCAAGGAATCTTTCAAGAACAATCATTAAATTCATGTAAAAGATATTATTCTCATAATGTAGTCAACCCCAGCTGCAGGGTTATGTTATAATTGTGTGGTTCTTATAGCTTTAATAGAGAGTTCCGATTTGTTGTTCTTAAGAGTTTCTTCTAAATTCTGCCATTAGCACTTCTTTTAGGTAGAGGGTCCACAGAAAAAGTCTCACTTTCTTCAAAGTTTTTCATTTCCATATCAAATTAGACTGCATTTCAGGTAGTTTGATGCTTGAGGACATAAAACCACATAACATTGACTGTTCTAACCACAACTAGTGTCAAACTGCAATCTTTTTCTTTCTAAAGGAAATTCCTCTCACTGATATGGCGACAAAGACAACCTATAAAACATGCAATAAACGAAAAATCCTTAAAGCCTAGAAATTTCATAAATAAAACTAAAATAAAATATTCTCATTCCATCTCAAGGAAATAAATAACTGATCTACAAAATTCACAATTAATATAGAAACCATAAACCAGTGTAATTCTGGAACCACAATCTAATTTGAGAAATTAGATAAATATACTGAAAGAGAAAGGATTAGAAAAAGGTTTAGAATTTGCTGAAGCATTTATAGTTCTAGGTCCAGTCATTACTAAAAGGAATTTGTCTTCGTTTTTCTAGCCCGTCCTTACTTCTAAGCACCATACAAATTAGTGAATTCTGTGGTGCATTGTCGCACTGAGATATGGAAATAGATCACCACTTTTCTCAGAAACTTTTAGCTCGCAAGAAGTTAATTTTTAATTATAACTTCTCTAAAGATCAAATGCGGATATCACGACCAAATCAATGCCTTCAATACACTTCTATAGTTTGACTCACAATCACTAATCAGACAGTGAATTTAGAACAAGTGACACAAGATTTCAAATAGCAAAAACGTAATAAGTGAAGAAACGTAGATAGATAGGCAAATAAAATAGAAAACAGAAAACAAAAAGCGTAAAAACCTGCTTCTCGATAGTCCGAAGCTCGTCGTGGAGTTTGGCTCTCCTGGTTAGAAGACCAGCGAGCATTGCGGACGGATTTGTGGCAGTCTTTTGACCTGAAACATAATCTTCCATAATCCAAGAGCGCGAAGAACAGAAGAATTCAAATTGAGAAGAAGAGAAAAAATCGAAGGGGAATGTAACGGTTACCTTCAGCTTCCATATTGTCGCGGGAAACCTAGAAGAACCCTAAGATAATTGGGGGAAATTTTGATGAACACGAGAATCTACCAAAATCTTATTTATTTGGGAATAAAACACATTACAAATTAATCTTTATTGCTTCTTTATTTATTTACCTTTTTTTTAAATTCTAAATTCAGAAATAAAAATATTTTCCTTTTTTTAATCCACATAAAATTACATTTTAATACATAATCATTTGTAAAATTTTAAATTTTTTAGTTGTTTTTTTCCTATTAAAAAATGCATTCATATCTTAAATATATATTAATAACAAAAATAATTATTCAAAATTTTGTTAAATTTTAAATTACACAAACCAAATTTACAATTTAACCTAAAATTGCCTCGAACATTCCCAAAATAATATTTCAATCGAGTCCTTTATACACTAATAAAATTTTAAAATACAACGAAAAAATATCCTAATTAATAATCCTCTATTTTTTTTTCTCACTAACTTTTACAATATTTTTTCATTTATCAAAAGTTTGGGCACCCCTTTCATTGAGGCTGCAACGAGCTATTCGACAAGCTGCCTCGATCTCGTCATGGATGTGAAACTTTGGAATCTGCAAATATTTTTGTGAACCAGTTATGAGAGGCTTTATTGTCCAAGATAAACATACATGGTAGAATTAAAATGGTAAATCAACCATACCTTCCAAAGAAGTTTGGGAACGTTTGAGTATTCAGAGTTGCAGATGTCACAATATGCTTGGAATCACGACGTTGGCAACCACCCTTTTCAAGATCCCGAAAAGATTCTATGTCACAAAAGGTTCTATATCACAATAAACTTTTACGTGACAACTTTATAAAATTTCTAATCATGAGTTATAGTAGGAAGAGATGAAGAGACTACTTTTAGACTTCGACTATGATGTGGTATTTTAAACATCCAATTACCTCTAATTTTAGTCGATCATGAAAGCTAAACAGGGTTCAAAACTATAACCTCAAATTAGGATTGGAAGGGAACTGGATTGTATCATACCAAGCCTACGAGAATGAATCTTTCCTTTACTGCAATGGTTTTCTTCGAGTCTGTTCAAGAATATACATCCGTGGGTATACCTGCAAAATGGCTTTCTCTACGGCCTACAAGATTAGCTTTGGTTTAGCTTCCAACTAAAGCTCAGGGAGTTCTTTCCCTGAGAGTGAGTGAACGATCTCATAGCCCTCCACCCGTAGTCCACAAAAGCGCTTAAGCCAAATCTGAAGCTAGAATAGAGGGAAAATAAATGATTCCAATAGCCAAGCCAATGTGGGGTCTATAACTACAATAAGAATACTCGTGATTCGGAAAGAGTAAGAGATTTAAAAGACCAAATACCCCAGTAATTAGATCCAATACTCTAAATCATCAGAAATAGGTTCATTCATTGTACTGAAAACATGATCTAAAACTTCATAAATCAACTTGGAACTTGGATGTGCTTTATCAGCAACATGAAAACAATGGGTCTTTGTATTAATGTTAATCCAACTACAACCAGGAGACTTCCTCAGACCTCTTTCCTTCATGGTGTGTCTAAGCTCAGCTACCAGATCCCATCTGCTAGCAGAAGCATACAAATTTGACAGTGAGATGAAATTAGAAGGATTTTCCGGTTCTAACTCAATAAGAGATCTGTAAGCCAATTCCAACATCTTGTAGTCCTTGTATCTTATAGAAGCAGAAACAAGGGCTCCCCAGACGCTGGGACCGGGTTCTAATGGCATTGTTTTGATAAAATTCAATGCTTGTTCGAGCTCGCCCATATTGCCCAACATGTCAACTATAACAGCACAGATCTCGGCAGTTGGTTCGACTCTATAGTCCTGAACTGCAGTGCTGTATAATTGGAGACCTTCCTTTATTAAACCAGACCGACTACAAGCGGATAAAACTCCGACTACAGCTATCTGATCTGGCTTGATACCGAGCTTGATCATATCGTTATACAACCTTATGGATTCCTTGCCCTGTCCGTGTAACCCATAAGCAGAAATTAATGTAGTCCAAGAGATTGTATCTTTATGAAAGGAATCAGATTCAAACACTTTTCTTGCCTTCTCCAAGCTACCACATTTTGAATACATATCAATTAGAGCATTACACAAAGATGCATCATCATTGAATCCTTTTCTGATGGCAAAACCATGGATTTGTTTTCCATTCATTAATCCAGCAAGTGAATTACAAGCCGGGAGAAGACTAATAAGGGATATTCTATTTGGTAATATCCCATCTCTCATCTGCATTTCCTGGAAAAGAATCAATGCCTTATCTGGATCTTTATTTTGTACATAACCTCTTACCATTGCTGTCCAAACATAAATATTTCTACGCTTGATTTGGTCAAATACATGCCTAGAAGCAGTGATCTTATTGTCCCTCGAGTACATATCAATCAAGCCGCAACCGAGATGAACATTTGAACCAAAATCAAGATCCAATTCGTTCTTCACTATATAACAATGGAGCTCTTTCCCATAATTCAATTTCCCAATGGGATTGCCACACAAAGGCAGAAGACTCGAAATAGTAAACGCATCGGGTTTTACTCCATCTATCTGCATGCTTCTAACAACAATGTCCCACGCTTCTTTAACATAGAAACAATCATTAGAACTTGCATAGCCAGCCAACAGGACATTCCATGAACCAGAATTTCTTTCTGGCATTTCATCAAATAGCTTTAAGGATTCTTTGCACTCCCCATACTTGAAATACATAGATATGAGGGAATTAGCAACAACAATGTCAAATATGAACCCAAGTCGAACAATCTTCCCATGAATCGATTTCCCGACAGTCACATTCCTAAGCTCGCTGGATGCTTTTGCCAATGTGGATAGTGTAAAGTCATCCGGCACTATGTCGCATTGCTGCATTTCATTAAAACGATGAAATGCCCCATGGAACACACAATTCTTAACATACCCATTAATCAAGGAGTTCCATATGCAAACAGTCCTAGTTGAAACCAAGTCAAATATGAGAGTTGACTCATTAAGGTCACCACAAGTTGAGTACGCAGAGATAAGTTTAGTTATCAAGAAATTATTTTGTTCCAACCCATGAGTAATAACCTGAGCATGAGATTCGCGGATGAACTTCTGAGATTGTTGATTGACGGCGTGCTGAAGAATATGGAGGAGACGCTGAGATGGATAAAGATCACGCCCGAAAAGAGTAGAGTAGCAATGTGAGATGAATAAGCCACAAGGCTTAGGCACAAAAACAAGGTTCATCAAGCAGAAACCAATCGAACCCACCTCTCACAAATTATATTCACAAACACTTCAATGACAACGAGAGATGTCCTTGCTGGTGCTTGTTTCCTGGAAAAGAAAAGGAAGAACAAGAACTGATATTATAAAAATTACACTTTTTAAATAAGAAATTATTAAAATTGTACTTCCCCTCACTATTAGATCATACCAACCCTTTGAACATTTGAGAGAGAGCATAAATAGAAGTATCCAAGTTATCGACATTTCTTTTATCTCATCAACATGAAAACTTCTCGTGTTACCAAGAAAATAATTCTTGATAGAGTGAAATTTAATCATCCACCTCTTTTGACTTCCAATTTTGAAGGGTTTCCTTGATCATGATATTGAGAGGTTATAACTTCTTTCTTGTCTTTACTTCAATTAATCTTTCCTTCCCATTGTTATAAAAACCATCTCTAAAGATAAAGATGGCACATAACTAGCATGATGGAGATGGTTTCACAAGTATAAAAGACGGTTGGCAAATATTGTCATCAATATGACCAGATGTTGCTTTTATCTTTTGCATAAATTGACAACCACACAGGGGCAAAGCCAGAAATTTTCGTAGCGAGGGACAAAATTTTACATTTTAGCTTCTTATATATGTAATATTAAATTTGGAAATATTATCTCAACCTCTTAATATTGCTTAATATAAAACAAGCCAAGAGGAGTTCAATAGCCCCCTCCTTCCTTCTTCACTCTGCCCTTGACCACATACCCGGTATAGTCTGGGTTTGTTTTGGTTCATCAATGTGGTTCCATTTCTTCTAAACCAAGTCAAGTTAATTTCCTTTTAATTTCAAGTTATTCTCATATTTCACACATTTTACTTTGGCAACACAAACTTCTTATTCATTTCCAACAACATGCATTCTAGTACAAACTAGTCCTAATTCAGTGAAGTTTTCAACTCTGGATCAAGTACACATCACTACTTTTACCATATAAGTAAGAAATCAGTTCTTCAATGGCCATAAATGTAATTTAGCAAGAGAGAATCACAACAATCCAGCAAGATACACAGATAAACACAATACACCAACATTCACCAGCTCAAACAACCAATAATAAGCGAGAAAGAAAAAAGTAAGACGCGAACACAAAGCAGTAACTCACCGGAGAAGAAGATACAGAGAGGGCGATGAACTAATCCAATGGGTTTCTCACCAAGTGTTTTCTCGAAACGATTGAAATTCATAAGGATTGCAATTTGCTTGCGTTATATCAACCGGTTGGACCGGTCCAATTCGTTCTTTATTACGGTCGGTTTTGTTGTCTCGTTGGGAGAACGTTTTTTTTAAGATCTTTAATATTCTTGGGTTTTTTATAGAAGATAAAGGTAGAACTCTCCTGCTGCTAATGGGAGTAAGGCTGAAAAACAAAGCTAGGTTATTGCAGGTAAATGCAGTAAAAACTACTCTTTAGTGTAGTTGGTTTGCCAAGGAATCTTTCAAGAACAATCATTAAATTCATGTAAAGATTATTATACTCATAATGTAGTCAACTCCAGCAGGAGGGTTATGTTGTAATTGTTTGGTAATTAGTCTTTGCATTTGTCATCAGTTGTTACTGTAAGGGGTTCTTGTATGCTTAAATAGAGAGTTCCGATTTGTTGTTGTTAAGGAGTTTCTTCTGAATTCTATCATTAGCACTTCTTTGAGGTAGAGGATCCACAGAAAAAGTCTCATTTTCTTCGAAGTTTTTCATTTCCATATCAAATTATACTGCATTTCAGTTAGTTTGATGCTTGAGGACATAAAACCACATATCATTGTACTGTTCAAACTATAACTAGTATGAAACTGCAATCGTTTTCTCTCTAAAGGAAATGCAAAAACGTAGATACAAGAACAAAAGTGAGACATTGAATTTAGAACAAGAGACAGAAGATTTCAAAAAGCAAGAAACGTAGATAAGTAAACAGAAAACAAAATTCCTACAAACCTGCTTCTCGATCGTCCGAAGTTCGTCGTGGAGTTTTGCTTTCCTGGTTAGAAGACCGGCGAGCATTGCGGACGGATTTGTGGCAGTGTTTTGACCTGAAACATAATTTTCCATAATCCAAGAGCGCGAAGAACAGAAGAATTCAAATTGAGAAGAAGAGAAAAAACCGAAGGGGAATGCAACGGTTACCTTCAGCTTAAATATTGTCGCGGGAAACCTAGAAGAAGCCCTAAGATAATTGGGGGTAATTTTGAAGAACACCAGGAATCTACCAAAATCTTATTTATTTTGGAATATTACACATTACAAATTAATCTTTATTGCTCCTTTATTTATTTACCTTTTATTCCTATTCTTATTCAAATTTTTATTTTGTAATTTTAATATATATTTCAAAAAAATTACTCTTTAAATAATTTAAAAAATTATATTTTAAGAGTTATTAGATGTGATAGACGAACACAACTCTCCACAATGGTATGATATTGTCCACTTTGAGCATAAGCTCTCATGGCTTTGCTTTGGGCTTCCCAAAAGGCCTCACACCAATGGAGAGTGTATTNTTAGATTATAAACTCATGACCATTCCCTAAATTAACCGATGTGGGACTTTCATCATCCAACACCTCTATGAGAGCTTATGCTCAAAGTGGACAATATCATACCATTGTGGAGAGTCGTGTTCGTCTATCAAGATGAATAATAAATAATAATTAAAATTATATATATAACATTTTAAAATTAACTAGGAGAACTCACGAACCAATCATTTTATAAAGTTTTCATTTATTCCAACTCAAATAAGGTCTGTAACCTAGTTTGGTTGATCGAGATTTTTTGGGTCATTTTATATATATATATATATATATATATATATTTTATAGTTTTACCAAAAATTTCAAAATTTAAGCTAAATAAAATTGTTTTTATTTTAGCAACAAATTTATGTGTATTTTATTTAAGAAATAAAAAACTTCCTAAAATTTTAAATTCGTTCGGTTTGTATTCATAGGTTTTTTTTATCATCAACTCATATTTTATATTAGTCGAACTATGTTCAAATTGGTAAATAAAAAAAAATTAAAATAAAATTAAACTAATATTGAAATAAAAATAAAAGAATAGTGGACAAAGAGGACTAATACTCTAAACATCCAAAAATGGGTCATTGGTTTTATCCTTTGCACCATCTGGTTTGTATGACTTTCTTTTCTTCCCTTTTTTCAGGTTGACCATAATAACAACCCTAACAAATAATGTAACACGTGTTATAATTATATCTTATTATAATCATCCAATAACAATAATAAAAATGAGGTTTTATACATTATTATTATTATTATTATTATAAACATTTAATTAATTAAAATTTTTAATATGCGTCTACCAGAATCAAACCGATCAATAATGACTATAATTAATTGACTGAGTATTATATATATATATTTGGTAGAAAATTAGAATATATAATTAAATTTATACTATTGAGTGAATTTTATGTTTAAGGAAAAAAAAAAAAAGTATTGTTCATTTTTCTAAATTAATAAAAATATTTATAAATTTTGTATTTTATTTTTTAACTCTTCAAAGTTTCAATAATATTTTTAAATTAAAAAAATATATTTCTCGTCACTAATTTATTAAAAAATATTTAACTCGTTTGGTTAATACCTTTACATTAATATATATATATATACTTTAAAATTTTTAAAAGACTTAAAAAATATTTTTTTTAAGGTAATTTTACTAAAAGTTTCAATAATATTTTTAAATTTAAAAAAGATAAAAAGAAAATATATTTCTCGTCAATAATTTATTAACAAATATCCCTTCAAAATGTATTTCAAAAACAAATTTTTAAAAGTTTGATTAATATCTTTACATTTTTTTAAAAAAATTTAAAAATATGTTTAAAATTTTTAAAAGCTTAAAAAAAATATCTTTTAAAAATAAAAAATACTCTCATCGCTCCCACGTAGATAGAATTGGTAGTAACATGTTTCAAAAATACCTTTATACTTTTGGGAGTGATCTAAGAAATGTAGATAAACATTTTCGTTCATATATTGCTGGTAAAAACTTTTTTAATTTCTTTTATAAAGATTAAGAGCGTTAATACTGTTATAAGAACGGATTTAATCGGTGTGAATGTTTGATTAATCCACCACACCTAAATGGTGTGAAAGTTGTCTTATTTATAATCAAATAAANGTCAAAACCAGCAGGGGTGGTGGAGGAGAAGATTAGAGGATTCAAAAGCCATTGAAAAGAAAGGATCAGGGTTGTTAAACCGAGAGGACTCTGATACCATGTGAATGTTTGATTAATCCACCACACCTTAGGTGTGAAAGTTGTCTTATTTATAATCAAATAAATTACAAGGATATGGAAATAGTAATAAATGGAAATAACAATAAATGGAAAGATACCTATGATAATAAGACAAATATTAGATATTTGTCTTATAATAAAATATCAAATATAATATATATGGTAAACTATAATTTATTACTAAATATCTTTAACAATCGGTAAAAAAAAGTTTATTATTAATACACGAACTAATTTACATATGTTCAAATTGAAAAAATGATGGAAAGAATAAAGGTAACATGAATTAAGAAGTCAAACTTAAGAGTTCTTCTAAGTACTCAACACCCAAATCCTCAAAAACAACTACATTTTTCTTCTTCATCTTCTTCTCCATCTTCTCCGCTTCTGCTATCTTCTTCCTCCGTATCGTGTGACGTCGTTTGAGCGCTAAAACAGGCGAGCACCCGACCTCCCACCGATACTTCATTTCATAGAGCGACTCTCGAACAACCTCCGCTGGAAAATTGAGTGTGGCTAATGCACCTCTCATGCAAAATGCGGCTTGGTCATAAGCCAATGCCGCAGCCTCCGCACTATCAAACGTCCCCAACCAAACCCTCACCCCTTGTCGAGTCGAGTCCCTTATCTCGGCTGCGTACTTCCCCCATGGCCTCCTCCGCACACCTCTATAAGCCCTCTCCTCCTTCGGTGTCCGATCGTCTTGCACAACGATATCGCCGTCTTCTATCTCCTCCTTAACGTGCATCTCCGGAGACAAACAAGGGCTAGAATCAGACGATGATGACGATGACAACGACGACATATCCGCAAACAACATCTCTTCCAAGTAATTGAAGTCAAATGAGAGATGGGAATTCTCTTTTCCGGGAAAAGTTCGAAAATTTTCTTGGTAACCAAACAGATGGTTATCAAGGGACATATTTGGAATCAAAGATGGGGTTTTTTGGGAAATATTGAGAGATTTAGGGGTTTGTGGATAAAATAGGAAAGCTAAGAGACCCTTTTTATAAGGGTAAAAAAGGAAGTTTTTTATGATATGGACGAAAATATTATAATACAAAGTTGGTAATATAAAAAATGGGAGGACCATATAAAAGCAAATAAGACACGTGGGTCAAAGGATTTTGTTTGAGGCTAAGAGGCGGCTGCCTGTGGCTGAGGTTGTCGTGTGAGGGATCTAAATTCTCAACTGTCAATGTCGTTTTTTGCTGACCAAATTCTTATGATTTCAAAAGCTAGATCGATTTGGTTCGAGTTCAGATCATGCGGGTTGAATTAAGAACGTGACGAGAAGATTAGGTAAAACTCTCGACGGGAGGTTCATGCCAAGTGGAAATTTTACGAACCAAGAACACAAAGAACGTCTACCTCACTAATCGGTTGAAGAGGGGAACGAAACATTGCTTATAAGGGTGTGAGATCCTCTCCCTAGTAGACACGTTTTAAATCCTTAAGGGGAAGCTCGGAAGGAAAAACTCAAAGAAGACATATATGCTCGTAGTGGGTTTGGACTCTTACATAAGCTCTACCCATTTAGTCGATCGAATTCATCTCGTTAGGTTTGATATAGATAGTTACAAACAAACTTTGCCTTACACAGTCATGGATTATGCATCCGATCACTTCTCGGTTGTTGTGCTATCACATAAATCGAGCTTAACTTTCCTCTCGACATCACTCTCTGTTCAATTAGTTTCAATTTACTCCTCATTCTCAAACTTGGACAAATACGTCATTTACAACTTCTTATTATACTAAATAACTTTTATATAATGCATCCATAACTCAACATTTTCTAAAAATTCTACAAATGACGATTCAAAATTTCATCGAACGGGTGAAACCTAAATATTTTCATCAATCATGTTGCAAAGTTTAAAATCAGTATTAAACTCTCGACCATATTGCTAAGTCTAGTATTTAACACGAGTTATATTCATATTGATAATATGAACACGATAGTGACAAGATAACGTTACCTATAATTGAGTTAGTTACTCGGGTGTCGTTTTCACCTCACTCCATAGATATCTCTACGCACGATCCAATCACAAATAAATAATCGTAAAGAAGTTTCAAAACCAATGAGAATAAATCCCATGGGCGGCTCAATAATTCCCATGGTTTGCTGCCGCCATGAACGTTCACTTCAAATCCTATTCCACAAATTCTTCATTTAAAAAAAAATAAATAATTATATTTTAATATATGATGATGCACTACCATTATTATTATTAAAATATGAACATTGATTTTCAAATTTAACCTTAATTTTTGTAAATTTAGTGTATGTTCGGTTGATTACGGTTAGATTAACATTTTTACCATGGTAAATTTTGGCTGTTACAAATCGACTTGTGGTATATAAGTGAAATAAAAAATTTAAAAAATATATTTTTAATAATTTATTAATTTATTTATAATTAGCGCATGTGAAAAATAAATGTTTGGTTCCTTTGGCATGGTTCATGGAACCAAAATTAGGAGGAAATTAAAAAATAATCCGAAAAAGAAAAGACAAAAAGGAAAAATAACTTAATATAAAAAAAAAAGATAGTTGACAATAATTTATAATTATCTTGAATTTTGTTGATTAATTAATAATTGAAGTAAAATATAATATCAAGTTGATAGTATAAAATAAATATAAATTGAATTTAAATTTTGGAAGCTAATAATTAATTTTTTCCCACTTGCAAAATCAATTAATTCCAATATTCAAAATAATTCGAAGTGGAAAATGACGTCATCAAGAAAAATCAAAGGTCATCCAATAATTGGTCAATTCGCATGCATTCAACTTCAAGCTTTGCATGCTTCTTTCTTCTTCTCTCTCTTATCTTATTATTATTATTATTATTATTATTTTATAACTTTCTTGGAATCTGACGTGGAAATTTGAGCATTTGACCTCGAGAGCATGGTGTCTTAAGAGTTGAACGGTA